CCCAGCTTTCGCAGCTTCAGCACTTGACCACTTCACGGGGGATCCCATTAAGCTGTTGCTACATGATAGACACCCAATGTATTTTTACCAAATGAGTCAATTTGAATAATCTAGACTTGAGGTTAAATGAAAGCACAGAAAGGGTCAATAATTATTAAAAGGACAGTTAACAAATGTTGTAGAAATTCACCATTCAAGGAACGAGGGGTGGGAGAAAAGGTGCATAATCCTTGCAAGCCTTTTTAGTACTGAAAGACAAGAAAGCTAAAGTGAAGTGGTCCTCCACCATCTAGTGGCCGGGCTCGGTAACAGGGAAACTCCGCTCAGTCCCCACAGCAAGGTGATTCTCAGGGAAATCATCGGGTTCCTGAATCCCACGAGTAATCAGTGAGGGCTAGGTTATTTTTCTAATTATTGATTATTACAATAGTAACAAAAACTAGTTAATAGAGAATAAATCTAAGTAAGTTGAAAAGATACAAACAAACGATTAAAGGAAAATTATGTATTTCTTAATCGTGTTTTGAAATAAAAGCTAAAATAAAATCACCATGACCACTGTTCCCTATGGATTAATAGTTTATAATATATTTTACTCGGCTCACAAATGTGCCAACCAAGACCCACGAAGGCCAGAAGCTTTGCCTGAAGCCACACAGGAGCTTAAGGAACTCACACGGGGTCAAGTAAAAAAGCAGTGGTGCTGGGATTCAAAGCCAGAATTACACAACTCACACCACCAACTCAGGCGTTTGATGTAATAAGAGACAAGGTTACGTTGAGTTTATTTATTATGCTTCATATGCTTCCAGCTGCATCTGAAAGGTGAGGGTGTATGGGATGGAAGCACATCTGGTGGGTGGACATGAGGACCACAGCAGCTGCGTCTGGAAGATGAGGGTGCCTGAGATGGAAGATCTGGTGAGTGGACATGAGCATCTCAAGTATACTGAGTAAACTCAGCCAAGGATGCATTGCAGGAGGTGAGGAAGCTGACTGGGGTTTGGATGTCGTTTGCCGTCTCCACCAAGTTCCACGTGAAATGTGATCCTCGGTGTGTTGGTGTTTGGAGGTGGCGCCTGGTGGGAGGTGTTTACATCCTGGTGGGAGGTGTTCACGTCCTGGGACTGAATCCCTCTTTGTGAGGTAGTGAGTGTGGTTTCACTCTCAGAGACTGGACTGGACTGGCTCCCGCTGGAGCTGTTGCAATAAGGTGAAGTTTCTTCTTCTGCTTGGTCCTCTCTGCATCTGTTCACTTCTCTGACCTTCTCCACCAGGTTACCCAGCTCAGAAGCCCTTGCAGGGAGCAAAGACCAGGCCCTTGAACTTCTCAACCTACAGAACAGTGAGCTAAATAAATATTTTTTCTTATAAATTACCCAGTCTCAGGTAATTCTCTTAGCCACTCAACAGGGACAAGGCCGTGTGGGAGATGGAACACACCTGACAGGCCTGCCTCTGTGACAGAGTGAGGCTTGGGCAGCTCGGGCTACCTGCACAACCGTGCAACCAGGGTCCCTTGAGCATGCAGGCAGGCCCTGGGGATGAAGTGTTAAAAGAGACCAACGACCTGTCTTTGGCCTTGAACAATTTCGCACCCTGGGTCTCATTTCTTCTCTACAAATTCCCCTGGTACTGTGTTCACTTACTGCCTGCACCGTGCTCCTCCAATCATTAAACCACTACCTAGCTGGTTTCCCCTAAGCAATCTGGGGTTTTTTCTCAGCTTTGCAGAATCATTGATGTCCGCCAATGCTTCTGGTTCTCCTGCTTCTGGGCACCTGTTAAAACTGCACTCTTCTGCCCCCTTGAGGTTGTACAAGGGCGTGTGACTTGCCTTAGTGAAAAGTGAACTCTGTCATGGCTGGGAAGAAACCAGCAAGAGTGGAGTTCTTTGTCTCATCAAGACACCAGACATGTTCTAGACCTTTGCAGTCCAGTATGGGAGAAACCAGCCACATGTGGCTATTTAACTTTAAATTAATTAAAATGAAATAGAATTAAACATTCTGTTTCTCGGTTGTATTTGTCACAGGTCAAACGCTCAGAGCCATATGTAGCTCGAGGCTGCCATGTTGCACAGTGCAAATCCACAGAGCGTTTCATCCAATGGTATTGCATTCTACAGCCCGCTGCCCTGAGGAGGGAAATGCACAGAGCCTCCTCCTGACCCACAGCGCACATGTGGTAAGAGACAGAGCAAATTTATTTTTAAAGACACTAACATTTTGGAGATTTTGTGTCAGTAACACAATCTATTTTATCCTGTGTGTTGCAAGTTTCTTCCAAATTGCTAAAAAATAAATGAGTAGCTCAAAGTCATACAAAAAAGATAACATTGGTAAAGTAATCATATTGGTAAATATGAAAGCCAGCACTGGCCGGGCACAGTGGCTCACGCCTGTAATCCCAGCACTTTGGGAGGCCGAGGCCGGTGGATCTCGAGGTCAGGAGTTCAAGACCAGCCTGGCCAAGATGGTGAAACCCCGTCTCTACTAAAAATACAAAAAAATAGCTGGGATTGGTGGCAGGCGCCTGGAATCCCAGCTACTTGGGAGGCTGAGGCAGGAGAATCGCTTAAACTCGGAGGGTTGCAATGAGCCGAGATCGCACCACTGCACTCCAGCCTGGGCGAGAGAGTAAGACTCAGGTCTCAAAAAAAAAAAAAAAAAGGGCCAGCATCATTGTATTTTTGTTTGTAACTCCCTCTTTCCTACATAACTTGAAAAACATAGGTGAGAGTTTTAGAGACTAGAGAAGCAGCTGTACATTCTGGACCCCTGGTGATACAGGTGCCCAGAGTGTGGAGATGAACTAGACGTGGCTCTGTCGAAACCCAAAGCCATGCAATGCTTTGTAAAAATGTTTCTCTGGAATTAGGTTTTAGAATATAAAGCAAGAATTATCTGGAGCCGGCACCATTTACACATGTACCTCTTTCCGCCATGATCTTGTCTGTCCAGCTATTACTAAAACCGGGGAGGGGATACACCACACAAGGGCATCCTTTGTGACAGTAACATCAGGGTGTAGAGCTGTGTAGGAGCAGAGTCTATCTGCTTCTGAAGCTATGCTGGATCAATTCAAAATAGATTGCTGTAAGATTAGAATGTTAATTCTAATGTCAAAGATAAACATAAAGAAAATAACTAAAAAGTGTATACAGACGGGAAATTAGTCAAGGATCAAAGGAGTAGAGTATGTCAATCAAATACAAAAATAAGGCTGTATAAGGGGAATCGTGAACAACAAAGAAGACATGAAAACAAATAGAAAAATGGCAGAAGATCCTTCTTGTCGTCAATTACTTTAAACATAGAAGCATCAAACTCACTGGCTAAGGTACAAACTTGGCAAAATTTTTTAAATGACCTAATAATCACAAGATTTTCTTTAGAGCCAAAGGAATAGGTAGGGTGAGGGGGATGGTGAAGAAGCCGTCCTGCAGAAGATACCGGGAAAGAGCTGGGGGGCAACACCAGGACCTGAAAAACAGACTTTAAGTCAAAAAGGGTCACAAGAGATGAAGAATAATTGATAAAAGGGCTTATTGATCTAGAAGATAGAAAAATTAAAAGCAAATATACATCAAACAGAAAACCCCACACTATATGAAGAAAACATTGACAGAATGGAAAGGAGAGTTCATAAAAATGTCAATGTTCACTTCAGTAATGACAAGAACAATATTCAGAGGAGTGGTAATGACCTAGATGCCGCCCGCAGAAAACTCCACCCACCAGCAGCAGAACCGACATTCATCTCAAGTGCACGTGGAACATTCTCCAGCATAGAACAGATGTTAGTCTGTGAGACAAGCCTCAACAAATGTGAAAAGACTGAATTCATACAGAGCCTTTTCTCTGATCACCAATAGAATGAAGAAATTTACAAACATATAAAAATTAAGCAACACACTCCTCAGCAACTAATTTGTAAAAGAAAAAAAATTGCAAGGGAAATTAGAAAGTACTTTGAGATAAATGCAAACAAAACCAAGGTTTACTAAAACTTATGATCTGAAAAGAAAGCAACCTTCAAAGGGAGATTTATAGGTAAAAAGGCCTAAAGTAAAAAAAAATAAAAGATCTCAGTTGGTAGCCTAACCTTACTAGCAAAAGAAGAGCAAACTAAACCCAAAGTTACCAGAGGTATGGAGATGCTGAAGGTTACAATGGTGATCATCATAGTAGATGAGAGAAAAAAAAATAGAATCAAGAAAACCAAACACTACATTTTTTTGAATAAACAAAACTGTCAAACCCTTAACTCATTGACTAAAAAAGGAGAGATGGTGTAAATAGCCAAATTCAGAAATAAAAGTGGGTACATTACTACCACCCTTACAGATGTTGAAAGGATCATAAGAGAATGCTGGAAACAGTTGTATGCCAACAAATTAGGTGACCTTGGGAAATGGAAAGAGTCTTGGGGACAGAAATTACCAAGCCCCACTCAAGAAGAAATAAAAATCTGAACAGACCTATAAAGAGTAAACAAATTGATTCAGTCTTCAAAAATTCCTCAATAAGCAAAAGGCCAGGACCAGATGGCTTTATTGGCTAGTTCTAGAAATCACTGAAATAATACCAATCCTCAAAACAAAGTAGTCTCCTTCCAAAATACACCCAAGGAGAGAACACTTCCTAACCCATCTTGTGAAGCCATCATTACACTAACACCAAAGCAAGACAAGACACAACAGAAAAAGAAAACTGCCAACCAGTGTCTCTTAACATAAATACTCGTAAACTCTACAACAACAAAGGCAGCAATCCAAGTTCAACAACATGTTAAAGGGATTATACACCCTGCACAAGTGTGATAGATGCCAGAAATGCAAGTGAGGTTCAGCCTCAGAAAATCGATGAATGTAACACATTACATTAAAAAAAGAAGAAAATAATAATCTTGATGTAGAAAAAACATTTGACAAAATTCAATATTATAAAAACACTCAGCTGACCACGGAAGGAGGTCTCTCTTCCTTGGCCCAAAAATATCCTTTTGGGGCTGTGAAAATGTAGATACAACCACCCCGGACACAAGCTGATAGTTGCTAAAGCTGGAGTTAGACACATAGGAGTTTACTATGCTTCTGTCTACTCTCATGTTCTTGAAATTTTTTGTCATAAATGCACATCATCACGTGTAAAAGATATATTACTTTGACTACTTTCATCAGAATTACAGGTCTTTATATTCTCAGTACACCTAAGTCATCACAGGATAAATTTGCCTTCCATTTTATGTCAGGTCATTCAGCAAAATGTACATTAAGTGCCAGTCCTTGGGCTAATGCATAAGCAATGTGTGAGAACACTGTCTTAGTGAATTTGAGCTTCTCTAAGAAAATTCCATAAACGAGGTGGCCTATTCTCCCAGTTCTGGAGGCCGGAGGTTTGAGATCGAGACAGTGGTGCATCTGCTGTCGGGTGAGGGCCGCTTTCTGGTTTCCGGACAGTGCCTTTTTCCTGTGTCCTTACATAGCAGAAGAGACGGGGTACTCTCTGGGTCCCTTTCATAAGGGCACTAATCTTATCATGATGATTGATGAGGCTCCACCTGCAAAACCTAATCACCTCCCAAATGTCCCACACCTCCCAATACCATCACTTTGACCATTAGGTTTCCAACTGTGGATTTAGGGGACACATTTGGTCTATGGCAGGTACACATGGAGATGATTCTTGAATTTGAGCTTCAATCTATTAGGGTAGGAAAAAAAGCAATGAAAATATGATATAAATATACTTCACACACACACACACAAATTTTCATACCCAGTAAGACAGCTAATGTTTAAAAACGTACAGACAAAACATAACAAGCATTTGTTGGGTTGTGGAGGAATCAGGACAATTAAGCATTCATGGTAGAAACATAATACAGTGCAGTCACTAAGGGAACTGTGCGAAGAGGAATATAATATAGTTGGTCACTGTGGGGAACTGTATGGAGAGGAATATAATATAGTTGGTCACTGTGGAGAAGTGTATGGAGAGGAATATAACATAATGTGTTCACTATGGAGAACTGTATGGAGAGGAATATAATATAGCACTGTCACTGTAGGGAAATATACGGAGAGGAATATAATATAGTGTGGTCACTGTGATAACTGTATGGAGAGGAATATAATATAGTGTGGCCACTGGGGAGAACTGTGTGAAGACTCCTCAAAAATAGCAGAAGAGACTAAAAACTAAACAGAATTACCTCAAAAAACTAAACAGAATTACCATATGACCAGCGATTCCACTTCTGGGTATATTCTAACAAATAGAAATGAAAACCGAAGACTGGGATTCAGATAGGAGGGATCCGTGCACCACTGCTCCTGGCAGCACCACGCAGAATAGTGGAAACCTGGAATCAACCCAGAAGGCATCGCTGGATGAACGAGTAAACACGGTGTGGGGCACACAGATGGTGAAATGTTATCCAGCCTTAAAAAGCAGGGCAATGCTGGCACCTGCTTCCACATGGCTTCAACCCAAAAACATGGAAAACATTATGCCAACTCACAAAAAGACAAACGCTGCAAGATTTCACGTCTGCGAGGAATCTACAGCAGTGAAGTTTCCAGAGACTGAAGGTAAAGCGAGGGCTTCCGGGCTGCGGGGCGGCAGGGGGCGCTGTTGTTTAACGGGTCCGGCGTTTCCGGGGGAGAAGGTGGACGTTCTGGAGATGGAAGAGGTGTCCGCGGCACCACAGCGTGAATGTGCTTATTGTCACTGAACAGTGCACTTCAAAATTGTTAAAATGGGCAATGTGTGTAGTTTACACGACAGTGTGTATAAAAATGCAGCATGGAATCTGCTGATGGTAAAGGAATGCTCAGGGCTGACAGGAAGGAGGAACATGAAGACGCCTCAGAACAGACACTGCCACTCATGTGAGACGACACAGCAGCAGGCCCAGCGCCGTCTGGAAGAAAGACCGAGCCAGGATGGGAGAAAAGAGGGATTTCCGTCCAGAGCCGCGACACACAGCCCCGTATCTCTCCAGCGGGGCTCAGCCACGGGCTGCGCCAGGCCAGAGCTGCTGTCTCCATTCCAGGCTTTGCTCAGCGGACATGGCCCCGTCTGGTACTGTGGGTTCCCTGCACCGTCTTCCCTCAAACCCCCGCCGGAGGCTCATCACCTCGACTTGGCTTTCGGCACTGTGCTAGGCGCTGCTTGTGCTAAGAAAACCCCGTTCTGGGATCTGAAACTGGTCGTTCCCACCCGTGATTTGCAGTTAGCACACGCTGACTGGCCTCTCCCCATCACCCAGGAGGAGGCTTGGAGATTCCTGCCTGCCCCGGAAGCCAGGAGCAGCTCCCAGGCAAGACTCGGAGCTCAGTCCGGGCTTTTCCTTCATGGACTCGTTTGCATGTGAGACGCGTGTGTGCACCCACTCAGGGCTCACAGTGTGCACCCATCCACTCAGGGTCACACGGGCTCTGCGTAGGGGATCCAGAGGAGGAAGATCTTCCCCGGAGGACTCTCATTGTTCCTACAAGATAACAGAAACCCATAAGCTGCAAAAATGAGATTCAAAGCCAGGTCAGAATGAATTTAACTGATGTCCTTTCCACCACTAGTTTTCAAGAACTGAGCATTCTGTGATCCATGAATGAACAGCTTGTAATACAGGCACGTAAATATTTGGGCCTGTTGAAGGGACGCGCACCTTAAGCATATGTATCTATGCATACACATATCTTTAACTGGATGATTAATGCTCTAGTTATCTGGCATGAAATAGCCTTAGATTTTATGTTTTCATCAGCATTTTAGAAACTTTATGTTGTATTTATCATTAGAAATCATGATGCCAAACTATCCTTATGAAATGAACATTGTAATTACTATTTGTCAAATTGCTTCGGCAACACTGAAGATGTAATTATTGGAATCACATATTGGAAAAAAAAATGTGATTGCAAAGAGACAGGACAAAGGGAGGTAGCTGAAGGCAGAAAGGTCACTGCGGTTTTCTCAAGTCTTGCCGATAGACTGAAAATGGAGGAAAAGAACACATTTCATTCTGGCTAGTATCAGCTGACATCCTGATGTCAGGAGAAACACGCTTTTAAGTCTGATGCTATTTAGCTTTTCAGCAGGCAAACTCCTTCAAAAGCATTCGAAGGTTCAGCACACATATTGAATTTTAGATACCTCTCAAAACTGTCTGAAAAATAAATCTGTTTTTCTATGATAAGATTCAGCTGGTGATTTGTTAAACAATGTTTCAGGGGCTGAATTCCTGCCACATTAAACATGATGTTTCCCTTGTTATCTAGAATGTCTTTAAGAAATTCCACTATCAGTTTATAAATTTCTCAGCTAGCCCATTGAAAGAGCCAGAGAAATTAAATGATCCTTCACTCTGTCGAGAAAAGAAAACCTATGGGTACAATTGAGTTCAGAAAGTACCTATCTCCTCAAATTTTCTTCTAAATATGTTTTGAAAAAGTAAAAATGTAGTAGCATGAAAGAGCTAATGTAAAAATCATGGTAAAATGTAAGAAAATTTATATTTTCTGCATGGAAAAATAACTGATTTTAATTGTTGATGGAAGAATTGTTGATGGAAGAACAAGACGAAAATTATCCTGGTAGTGAATTAGAAATCAGTAGATAGGAGCTGTACATTCTAGACATGGCCAAGTGATCAGGAGACCAGAGCTGGACAGAAGGCTTCCACAGCAATGGGAGTGACTTTCAGGGGTGCATTTCGGCAGAGCAGAGCAAGCAGAAGTCACCACAGTGACCCCAGGAGAGGGAGGGGAGAAAATTACATCCGTGGGATGAAGCCTGCAGAGCCCAACTTTCTGAACAAGGGGAAATACATTCTGCCATTGTCATGATGGGAAAAATCAATTAACTCATGATTTATTATCCACTTATTTATTTAGTTATTCAGCAACTGTGCTGAATGCCTGCTACGTCCCAGGGATACAATATTGGCCAAGTCAGAATAAGTCCAACAATAACAGCATTTGCAGTCCAGTAAAGACAGAATTAAACAAAAAAACAAATGAACAAGTTATAAATACAGTAACTGCATGCTGTGAAGTGCTAAGGTTTGCACAGTGTGGTGGACAGTGGCCCTGGCATTGAGAGGGGCTCATGGAGACTCACCCAAGTCTGTGGGTTGAGGGTGGGGACCAAGAGCTGAGTGGCTGTGAGACCACTGGGTGCATACACTGCCTCTGGGCTGCACAGCAGAAGTCTGGTTGAAGATACAAATTTGTGCACCAAGGTGGTAATTGAAGAGAAGGGCCTGGATGAGGTTATCAGAGAAGAAAGTCCCAGGAGGAAAAAGGTACTAGAGGGAGTGCTGAGAAGTTCCAGTTCTGACCAAGTAAGCCCTGTGTGCTGGGTAAGCAAACAGAGGGCCTGGAAGGCGGAAGAAGGCCTGGGAAGTAAATACCACAAAACCAGTAGAGAAGGAGGAGCCTTCATCGGAAGGCTGAGTGCCCCTGCACGGTGGAGTCAGCTGAGTGTCATAACTGCATGATGACCGTAGAGGCCTCAAGACCTTAGAGAAGATTCAGGAGTGAAGTGATAAAGGCAGAAGCAAGAAGCCAGGAAATTCCCCAAACAGATTTACATTTCACTGCTCACCTCCTCCCATTGTCACCCGCAGATCTTCAGATGGGCCTCCTGCATGCTCTCTGCGGTCACTGCACTCTCTTGGGTTGGTTCTCACTCTATATCAAGTCAGGTGGAATCCTTGCTTGGTTTCAGGGAAATACAGCTCTTTTCTGTAAGTGTTTATTCTCTCAACCTCAAACCACAGGGAATAATTACTGCAATTTCACTTTAATGCCACCTCATACCAAAAGCTTTCTCTGTGTGTATGACTATTGGTTGGGTATCCACCTAGTAGTAGAAACTCTAGGTGATATGTGTATGTTGGAATTCAAGAGAGAATGGCAGAGTTTCACAGAGAAGTGACCCAGCTGACGCTCTCAGCAGCAGGCTTTGATAGTGCAAGCTGCTCACACCCTCACCTGCACTTCGTGTGGTCAACAATATTAATAGAGCATTTCTGGTGGAATGTAATTTTGTTTCATATTGTTTCAATTGTCCTTCTCCTAATGATCAATGGGATTGAACAACTTTTCATTTATTCATTGGTAATTTGGAGACATCCTTTGGTGAGTTGCCTGTTCATGCTTTTTGCCCTTTTATTGACACTTTTCTTTCTTAATTTATAAATATTATTGTTATTATTACTGTAATGATTCCCTTGATAGTCATGGGTATTGCAAATGTTTTCTTTTCATTGGTGACTTTTTAAACAAACAAACTTAGTGGGGTCTTTGATCAATACAAATTCCTTTTTCTTTATAGCCAAAGCTTTTTAATCCATTTAAGATTTTTCCCTTCTATTCTAATAACATAGGAGAGTATATTTCATTATCTTCTGGTAGTGCGATAGTTTTACATCTCACATTTATATCTACAATCCATCTATATTTTATTTATTTCACTGTGTACTTCCATTTGATCCAGCACCACTCACCCAAAAGCCTTTCCTTTTTCGTTGCACAGTGCCAGCTTTGTTTTATTTATTTATTTTATTTTATTTTATTTTTCCATAGGTTGTTGGGGTACACGTGGTATTTGGTTGCGTAAGTAAGTTTTTTAGTGGTGGTTTGTGAGATTTTGGTGCGCCCATAACCTGAGCAGTATGCACTGCACTCTATTTGTAGTCTTTTATCCCTCATCCCCTTCCCATTCTTTCCCCCCAGGTCTCCAAAGTTCATTGTATCATTCTTATGCCTTTGAGACCTCATAGCTTAGTTCCCACATATCAATGAAAACATACGAAGTTTAGTTTTCCATTCCTGAGTTACTTCACTTACAATAATAGTCTTTGACCTCATCCAGGTTGCTGCAGATCCCATTAATTCTTTCCTTTTTATGGCTGAATAGTATTCCATCATATATATATATACTGCAGTTCCTTTATCCACTCATTGATTGATAGCCATTTGGGTTGGTTCCAAGATTTTCCAATTGCAAATTGTGCTGCTATAAAATGTGTATGCAAGTATATTTTTGATATAATGACTTCTTTTCGTCTGAGTAGACACCCAGTAATGGGATCGCCGGATCAAATGGTAGTTCTACTTTTAGTTATTTAAGGAATCTCCACACTGTTTACCATAGTGGCTGTACTATTTTACATTCCCATCAGCAGTGTAGAGGTGTTTCCTAATCACCACATCCATGCCAATATCTACTGTGTTTTAATTTTTTGATGATGTCCATTCTTGCAGGAGTAAGGTGGTATCGCATTATAGTTTTAATTTGCATTTCCCTGATCATTAGTGATGTTGAGCATTTTTTCATGTTTGTTGGCCATTTGTACATCTTCCTTTGAGAATTGTGTATTCATTTCCTCAGTCCACTTTTGTATTTTTCAAAATTTCAGAAATGACTCATTTATGTATTTATTTTTTATTTTACGTTAAGTTCTGGGATACATGTACAGAATGTGCATATTTGTTAGATAGGTATACATGTGCCATGGTGGTTTGCTGCACCTATCAACCTGTCATCTAGGTTTTAAGCCCTGTATACATTAGGTATTTGTCCTAATGCTCTCCCTCCCCTTGCCTCCCACCCAATGACAGACCCTGGTGTGTGATGTTCCCCTCCCTGTGTCCATGTGTTCTCACTGTTCAACTCACACTTATGAGTAAGAACATGCAGTGTTTGGTTTTCTGTTCCTGTGTTAGTTTGCTGATGGTAATGGCTTCCAGATTAGTCTATGTCCCTGCAAAGGACATAAACTCATCCTTTTTTATGGCTGCATAGTATTCCATGGTGTATATGTATCACATTTTCTTTATCCAGTCTATCATTGATGGACATTTGGGTTAGTTCCAAGTCTTTGCTATTGTGGATAGTACTGCAGTAAACATATGTGTGCATGTGTCTTTATATTAGAATGATTTATAATCCTTTGGGTATATACTCAGTAACGAGATTGCTGGGTCAAGTGGTATTTCTGGTTCTAGATCCTTGAGGAATCGCCACACTGTCTTCCACAATGGTTGAACTAATTCACACTCCCACCAACAGTGTAAAAGCATTCCTATTTCTCCACATTCTTGCCAGCATCTGTTGATTCCTATCTTTTTAATGATTGTAATGATCACCATTCTAACTGATGTAAGGTGGTATCTCATTGTGGTTTTGATTTGGATTTCTCTAATAGCCCCCTTTTTTTTTTTTAGACGGAGTCTTGCTCTGTCGCCCAGGCTGCTGGAGTGCAGTGGTGTGATCTCAGCTCACTGCAACTTCCACCTCCCGGGTTCAAGTGATTCTCCTGTCTCAGCCTCCCGAGTAGCTGGGACTACAGGCACACACCACCACGCCTGGATAATTTTTTTTGTATTTTTAGTAGAGACAGGGTTTCACCATGTTGGCCAGGCTGGTCTCAAACTCCTGAACTCAAATGATCCAGCTGCCTTGGCCTCCCAAAGTGCTAGGATTACAGGCATGAGCTACTGCACCCAGCCAATAGCCCACTTTTTGATGGAATTGTTTGTTGTTTTCTTACTGATTTCTTTGAGTTCGTTGTAGATTCTGGATATTAGTCCTTTGTCAGATGTATAGATTGTGAAGATTCCACTCTGTGGACTGTCTGTTGACTCTGCTGACTGTTCCTTTTGCTGTGCAAGAGCTCTTTAGTTAAATCCCAACTATTTATCTTTGTTTTTATTGCATTTACTTTTGGGTTCTTGGTCATTAAATCCTTGCCTAAGCCAGTGTCTAGAAGGGGTTTTCCAATGTTATCTCCTAGAATTTTTATAGTTTCAGGTCTTGTATTTAGTTTCAGGTCATTATATTTCCCCACTTTATGATTTTGTTTTCTTTGACAAAGATCAGTTGGCTGTAAGTATGTGGGTTTATTTCTGGGTTCTTTATTCTGTTCGATTGGTCTGTGTGCCTATTTTTATACCAGTACCATGTTGTTTTGGTGACTATGGCCTTATAGTATAGTTTGAAATCAGGTAGTGTGATGCCTCCAGATTTGTTCTTTTTGCTTAGTCTTGCTTTGGCTATGTGGGCTGTTTTTGGTACCAAATGATTTTTAAAATTGTTTTTTCTAATTCTGTGAAGAATGATGTTGGTATTTTGATGGGGATTGCATTGAATCTGTAGATTGCTTTTGGCAGTATGGTCAAAGACCTCTACAAGGAAAACTACAAAACACTGCTGAAAGAAATCATAAATGACACAAATTGAAATACATCACATTCTCATGGATGGATAGAATAAATATTGTGAAATGGCCAGCTTTGTTTTAGATGAAGTTTCCCTGTGTGCTTTCTTTTCTCCTGACTCTTCATCGATCTGTTTTTAATCCCTTTCACTAGTGCCACACTATCATATGAACTTACTTTTCCAATAAATCTTGATATTGGGCAATGTATATTCTTATCTTTGCTCTTCCTCAAAATTTTTTGCTATTCTTGTTTCTTTCTGTTTCTACATAAATCTTATATTAGCATGTCTGTCATCAACACACAAATAAAAATAGCCAACTGGAATATAAGGAGAATTTTTACTCTCACAATATTACTTCCTCCAATTTGAGAAAATGGTATGTTCTTTCATTTGTTTAGGTCGTCACCCACTTCTCTCAATAATCTTTTTATAATTTTGGTATAGAGGTGTTACACATATTTAGATTGTTTTCTAGATATTTGATAACTTTTGATACTATGGTAAATAGCATGATTAAAAATTTCTTATATTAAGTGCTAGAAAATAAAATAATTTTTGTATAGTGACATTGTATTCAGCAAGCCTAACTCACCTAAATTATTAAATTTGATAATTTATAGAAAATTACTTTTATAACCATGTGTTATCTGTAAATGAAGATACATGTATTTCTTTACTTAAAACATTTTACCATGTGTTTATATGCCTTATTTCACTGACAAGAAACTCCTATAAAATGTTGACTAAAATTGTTAATAATAAATATCTTTTTCTTATTCATGATCTGAAGATAGAAGTTTTTAATATATTAATATTGGATCTAAGATTTGTTTTGGGCTCCAGTGATACCATTTTTCAGAGAAAGAAGGTAATTTTTATAGCAAATTTTTACAAGGTATTTAAAAATAATTAATAAATATTGAATTTTATCAAAAATGTTTTTATCATTTACCTAATTTTTATTTTATTTTCTTAATATATAAAAATATGTTAATATAAACTCAGTTTTTATATTTATCTATTTTATATATCAAGGAACCCATTTTACTTATATTTGTTTGTCATATTTGAATCCACATTTAAGATATAAATTGTCCAGTAATCCATATTGTCAGATTTGTGAATCAAGGTAATACTGGTATCATAAAACCCATTGCAATGAATTCTATATTTTTCATTTTACCATGAGGAATTGATGTAGTCTTGGTTTTGCTGAGAATTCTCAGTTTGCTGAGAATGATGGTTTCCAGCTTCATCCATGTCTCTGCAAAGGACATGAACTCATCCTTTTTTATGGTTGCATTGTATTCCATGGTGTATATGTGCCACTTTTTCTTTATCTAGAAATACGATTTGAGCCAGCAATCCCATTACTGAGTATATACTCAAAGGTTTATAAGTCATTCTACTATAAAGACACATGCACACATATGTTTATCGCAGCACTATTCACAATAGCGAAGATTTGGAACCAACCCAAGTGCCCATCAATGATAGTCTTGGTTATTTGTTTAGTAAAAGTTTGGAAGAATTTATCAATGAAGCCATCTGACACATGAGTCTACACTGCAGTAAGGTTTTAATAACAGCTTCTGTGTCTTTAAGAGCTAGGTATCTATTCAAATTTTCTATTTATTCTTGTATAATTTTGATGTGTGATGTCTGCCTAGGAAATTGTTTTATTCAAATATAAATATATTGACATAAACTCATTCATCGTTTCCTCTTATGGTAGTTTCTATTTTGTTTGCTGGTGACTACTTTATATTCCTCATATTGGCAATTGAGGAATACAATGGAAAGAAGTACATATCTTATACTTTACTTAAGAAGAAGTCTCTAGGGAATCCCCAAGACAATATGAGACAAAAACAAAAGCACAAGAGAAATATGAAGCATCTGGCATATATAGTTAGAAAACAAACACAATCCAGATCCTAGCCAGATTAACATAGAATCTCACAGTAAAGATGTTTTTGCCTCAGTTTCTATTATCAGATAATTATATCTGGCTTTTGACAAAATAAAATACTATGTGATAAGCTAGAAAGTAAGAAAAAATAGTCTAAAGAGACAAACATGAAAATGAACTCAGATATTGCATGGATTTTAGAAGTATTAGAGTATTTAAAGTAACTGAATAATATGTTAAAAGCTGTCATAGCAAAAGAAGGCAATACTCAAAATTAGTTGGACAATGTAATCAAAGAGATAAAAATGCTAAGAAAGAATGAAAAAGAAAGGCTATAAATCAGAACACTCTAATAGGAAATAATGAATGTTGTTGATGGGCTCATCAGTGGAATGGATTCTGCCAAGAGTCAGTGACTTAAAAATATGTCAATAGGAACTTCACAATAAAAATGACTGAAAATTTTACAACAATAGGAATTTGAGAACTGTAGAAAAATTTCAAAAGGTATATGTAACATATGCAGAGGGGATGGAAAAAGATAATCCATACTAATACTAATCAGAATAATACTGGACTAGAGAAATTAGCTTAGGACAAAGGTGACTTCAGAACAAGAAAAAATGTTCAGAGATCAGGGCATTACATGATACGTGGTTCACTTCTTCAGTAAAGCATAGCAACAATAAACGTGGACATACCTAACAACAGAGCATCAAATTATGTGAATCAACACTCAACAGGACTGAAAAGATAGAGAGACGAATCTACTACTACAGCTGGAAAATTCAACACCTCCAGTTCAGTAATCAAGAGATATGGCAGGCAGAAAATCAATAAGGACATAGTTGAACAGAACTTGAACAGAACCATCAGCTTGCTGTAATTGCTGTTTATAAAATACTCCATGCAGCAATAGTAGAATACACATTGTCCCACTCACAGAACATTAACCAAGATGGCAACATGCTGGACTGTAAAGCACACCTTAAAAATATCAGAGAATACACAGCATATAAAGTATGTTCCCAGATCACACTGTAATTGACTGCAAATCAGTAGCAGAACAATAGATGGAAAGAAAAAACCCGAATATTTAGAGATTAAACAGTACACACTTAAATACACATGAGTCAAAGACCTTTCAAGAGAAATTTTAAAATATTTTGAGCTAGATAAAATTGAAAATACAACTTATCAAAATTTGAGGGATATAGTGAAAGCAGTACTTAACAGGGAAATTTATGGCATTAAGTGCACATCATAAAAAAGGAAAGATATAAAATTAATAATCTAAGCTTCCGCCTTAGGAAGAAGAAAAGAAGAAAGGCCAGAATGATCATCTGGACATGGATTACGAGTGGAGAAACCAGTGTGCACCCATGTGAAACTCAACATAGATTCCATAAAGAAATATTTATAGAAATATGTATGTACATGTGTAGATTCCTGCTCTGTCACTCACTAGGGCAATGACATCCCAATTTCAAAGATAATATTAAATACCCAGGTCTTTGCTTCAATTGCTAATCTCCAGTAAAAGGAACCAGGGCTTCCCAGAGACATTGTGGATTCTAGGAGTAGAACAGGAAATAGACAAGGTAAGCTGGGGGCACTTTGGAGTGCTAGAAACTTAATAACTGCTGAAAAAATAAAAATGAACAGCCACATTACTGGGGCATGTCAGGGCCACAGGAGCCAAAGGAAAGATCTGGCCTGCAACTGAAACTGGAATGATTAAACAATAATGACAACAAAAAGCAGCATTGGTTCCTAATCCAATTTATAAAATAAATTTGAGTTTATAGTGATATGAACAAATGGGTAAATATGTAAATATTTAACAGACAAATCTCCCTTGCAGAGGAATTCCAAATAAGGTGGCAGTCTCCATGCTCTTAGAGGAGGAGAGTGTAACTCCCACTGCATAAGTGAAGGCCATGCATAGTGAATTTGCTTCAGTGAGTCTGGAAAGTGGGACAAGGGAGTAACTTTCCTGTGGAGAAACCTGGCAGAGGCCACGACCGCCAAGTGAGGCGGGTGCTACAGCGATGAGTCATTGACCAAAGGTGCCTTGACAGAGTGTAATAAAGATAGCACTTTACTTCTATGGTCTTCTTCCCCAAATTCCATAATCCCAATCGGATCATCAGAAAAACCCCAACTGAGAGAAATTCTACAGCATACCTGACCATTACTCTTCAAAACTATCCCAATCATTGAAAACAAGGAAAATCTGAGAAACTGCCAGCGGATAGGGGTCTAGGGAGATGTGACAACTGTATACACAGTGGCATCCCGGATGGGGTCCTGGAACAGAAAAATAACATCAGGTTAGCAAGTAAGGCATCCCGAATAGGCTTTGGACATTATTAGTCAATGATTATTATGACGCAAACATACGATCATTATGTCAAGATAGGGAACACATCTCCCATCTTGTCAAATAATTTATTGAGCATATTTATCAATTGTTGTTAAGTCAAGTCTGTCTGATAGCTTTGTTTGATTTCTGATCTCCTGATGTTTGATTTTTATTGATATTAAATGTCCTGATTGTGCGGAGTCAGTGCAGTCTCTGTGTGTGCTTGGTGACATCTGAGTGAATGTCACACGCTTGTGTAAATGATAGCAGAGATAATGGGGGCTCCATATGATACCATCTTTCCCCAAAGTGGAGCCATTTGACACTGGCTGGTGGCCCAGCTAGAGGCAGATGACGCCTGCTCACCAAGGACCGAGGTCACCCAGCTGTGTCTCAGCCTCTCTTTGAGGGAACCCTTCTTCTCACTCACCCATGCTTCTAGGGGTCACATTTGGAGCTCCAGCTTCAGCCCCTTGAGATTTAAAGTCAGTTTCTGTTCCTCAGACTTGTCCCCTCTTCCCTCCAGGGCCAGCCTTCACTACATCCCTGGCCACATCAACCCTCAGGGATTTGGTCTTTATGGGGAAAGACAGGAAGAGTATTTTAAGACATTTAAAGTAGAAAATATTTTTGGCCTTGGGGAAAAATGTTAAGGGTCTGAGAAAGAAAAATAGCCTTAGATTCCTGGCGACATTGACTTCCCAAAAATGGCAAATGTTGCGTGGAGAAGGAGAGAGAGCTTCCCCGTGAGCCAGCAGGACAGTCATGAGGGCAATGCCTTGGAGGCATGTGAGAATTCGGTAAATTCAGTGGCACACACTAGTGATTTGAACAACAGTTTATGGCTCTCTCCCGTCTCTCTTTATTTTTTCTTTACAGTTTTATTCCCTCTGGTTCATATTATCCTTTTTTTCTAAAACTAATGTGATTTTTGAAACAACAGATGTGATAAACCAACATTAAATTACGTTCCCAAATTTAAGAAAAGGTTTAGGAGAAAGTAGTTTCATAATCAGTGTTTGATAAGCACAATTATTTTTTAACATGTAAGACTTTACCAACTTAAATCTAGACAGTACATTAAAGTTTAAAAGTCCAGTTTGTAGGGGTGTATCAATAGTTAAATTAATAATTTAAAAGTTTCTTTATTTCTGGCATAATATTCTATTTTTATTTTCACTTATAAAACATACTATACGTTTGTATGCAAAATGTAAGGTGCCAATACCTTTGTTGAGTTTTGAAAACATTTATTAATTAAGGAACATCAACATATAAAATTATCTTCTAAATAAACTTTATGTTGATCAATAATTTCTGGATCAAATTAACTTTAAGCAAACAAGAGAAATATGTACAGCTGTCACAGTGTATTAAATTAAAAAATGATCATTTCATGGATTTGAGTCAACTGGACATTTTCTGCATAGTTTATAATGTACAGAAGCTGGAAGATGCATGTCTGATACATTTCCTGGGAATAAAGGTATCATCTCTGAAACTCTTATGGCTCCAATAAGGAACTCCTCATGGTTGCTTTGGAAATTCCACTTAAGATGAAGACAGTGTTTTCTTTCCTCCAATGTGATCAGCAGTGCTGGTAATCAATACATAATTACCAGGCTTCTCATGCCTGTTTCTAACAGACTAACACTTTTCTAGGAAATGCTAAGCAACTTGAATCTCACTCCTGGAACACAAGCCCCAGCCATATGGATAACAAACATTTATCCTGTTTATATGGGAAGTCATAGGAACACATGGTTTCCTAACCAGGACATCAAGGTCTTTGGAAGAATCTTGCAGCCTGTTCCTGGCAGCTTTCTCTCCCCTCCTTCCTAGGCCAACCCTAACCCTAACCCTAACCCTAACCCTAACGAGGACCCAGGTTTTTAAACAGCTAGAGTCTCCGTGTTTCTTCTGATTATGGTAGAAAATAAAGCCAAAAAAAATAAGCCTTTATAAAAACAGCATGGGTGTTTTTGTGATAGATTTCTAAGGGGTAAAAAAGGCAACTACGTTAGAAATGTGAGCCTGGCAAGAGGGAAAAGCTGGCATTAAGGACCTGCCAAAATTCTAAATTCACTTTCTTTTCTATGCCAGAGTGAATTTAAAATAGATATATAAATGTCTGTTTCATTTATATTCTTTAGTGAAAGCCAAACACATAAGCAAAATAAAATTTAAAATACTACTATTGAATAAACAATTTGAATACCCCTATGGAGTACGACATAATAGAAGCTTGGACCTTCCCTTAAAGTAAGTGGAGGAGGCTACAGAGAGAAGGCTCTCTCAGCAAACTGCAAGAGAAAAGCATAGCCCTCCAGCAGGAAATGGAAGATGGTGATTTCAGGACATTTGTCAGCTAAAGTTTTCACAAAACAGCTTTATGCAGCCTTTTGAATAAATGCTGTGCATGGTTGTGTGGAGGAGATATTATTAGGAGGGGCTGAACTCTTAAAATGATGAAATTGAGTTTACTGTAAAGTTGTAGAGGTGAAGGAAATAAAAATAAGCTTCTATAAGTTATATGGGAAACAGAACTTCAAAATCAAGAGAAAGAGAAGTTTTAACTTCCTTACGTCTATTTGTTTAGGCTCTCTAGTGGAAGTCGGTATTAGCACACACTACGTTAAACATCTTGCACAGAAAAACAAAGTCAGCATATTCTGTCAGCCAATGGAAGAGAGTGGAGTAAACCAGTGATTACTTAACACACATGCTTTAAAACAGCAAACTATTGACACAATGTGGAGTATATTTATGGTCTGTTACATTTTATGAAATGGTTTTATTTGGTTTATTTTTAAAATACTTGTCATTTTAGCAGTCTTCTGATAAGATGGTACATTTAAAAGCTCAGAACAAAACACACTTGGAATGATCACCTTCTCTAGGAGCAATGAAACCCAGCCTTTCTGGTTTATTTCTTTCTTTTCACTAATGAAATCATTACAATTTTGTTAGGTCTAATTAAAAGACCAAGAAGGCATTTGGACGGAAAAAAAGGTATCAAGTTTTGTGTATTTTTGATGTGTTTTCTACAGCCAGGACAAAGTCCTTGAAAACAAACTTCAACAAAGAAGCATAATTTCATAATGAAGAAAAGAAAGAACCCCGTAAATACCTAATTCCAGACTTTCCTTTGTCATAAAGTCAGTGATCTTCATGCATACAATTTCACATACAAATTCCCATTTCTTATTTATAATCCCTTTCTATTTACTGAGGAGGTCATCTCCTGATGTGGTTGAAAATACGTTACTCTGTAACTATGATTTTTCTCATGATAAAAGTGAGATGCAGGACAAGTCAGCTATTATTATGGGATATATGCGGATGTGCTGGGATGGAGTCCTCCACAAAAAATCACGGGGGCAGAGCACGCTCTTAAGTCTCGGAGCTTCTTACCTGAGAATGTTGATTCTGAGTCACTACAGTGGCTTCCAGGAGTTGCCAACTTTTAAAAAATTGTGTTCCACTATTCCAAATCTGGTCTCCTTCTTTGTTGAGAAAGATGGAAGGCAGACGGCAAGCATGACGTGGGGGCTTCTGTAGGGGCTCTTGCTGTGGGGTAATCCTTGATAAAAGAAAAACTTCAGCCAAATTAAATTTAGAAGACTTTGAGCAATGAATGAATTGTGAACCAGACTGCCTTCTGAGCCAGAGTAGGTTCAGAGGTTCCAGCACAACCATTCGGTGGAAGATTTATGGACATTGAAGGGAAAGTGACCTACAGAAAATGGAAGGGAGGGACAGAAACAGCTGGATTGGTTATAGCTCAGCATTTGCCTTATCTGTCTTATTTGAACACAGTTTGAACAGTTGACTACATTTGATTGGCCGAAACTCAGTGGCTGGCACAAATGTAGGCTACGGTCTACGTACACCTCTCCTTGTTATGTTCATGATGTGCAGAAAAACCTTTAGGCTGAACTTAAAATCTCTTAAGGAGGCAGCTTTAGGCTAAACTTGATTTAACACCCTCAAGATACCCGATTCTTTTGCAGATTTGAGTCAGGATGGCTTCAGCCTAAGGAAGAGCTTGCTGGGCTCCTCTGTGTGGGAGGTTGGAGGAGCCGCCGCCTGGGGTGAGTGTGGGAGGTTGGAGGAGCCGCCGCCTGGGGTGAGTGTGGGAGGTTGGAGGAGCTGCTGCCTGGGGTGCACAGTGTGTAGCTGCCCTGCTGAATCTTCTTGGATACTGTTATGGGATTTGGGGGGGGTGTTGTTTTTCTGGCTGGAAATCCACTCTGTGGCTGGTGGGGCCTTTGCCTGAGTTTTGCTCTGGCCTGCTGAGCTCTTTTTGCCCACTTGGCCTGGCAGGCTGCACTTGGCTCACACTACCAGCCTCGGTAATTGAGAGGGCAATATTGCCCACCTGTGACTCTGGGTGGCATTTTCCCGCCAGCCAGTGCTGCAGGCCCCAAAGGCTGTGGTGTCAGGAGGGCCATGGCACAGGGGCTGTGTGGGGAGGTTCTGAACCATGGAACGTGGGCAGAAGTGGTGTAGCCAGTGCTAGGCCAGGACCTTTCCACTTTCTGCACCATCTCCCAGCCCTCTTCCTCCTATGGAGATAGCCGTGGAAACCTCGGGAGGCTTGGCAGACCCAGACTGGATGTGTCCTGAGCCAGAAAAGGCATGACGCCACTGAGACCCTGGTCTGTCTCTATTTCCACAGCCAATATAAATTACCCTCAGCAAGACAACACCAGAGAGAAACGCTTCCACCACGCACAGAAATGGTTCCGGGGGCTAGAGATTGAGACAGTCCCCAGCCACTGTGCAGTTCTTCAGTACTTCAGGGCCCACAGAACAAAGCGGCTAATAGGAGGCCCAGGAGTTACTGCTGCCCCGAGGAAAGAGAGGATTGTCTCCCGTGCCCAGAGGCCCCGTGGAAGTGGTCCTAACTTGCCATGTCCAGGATAAAAGCCAGGAGAGGCCCACACAAGCCCCAGGCAGGAGGGACTCCCAATGGAGCAGCCACTGAGGATGGAGAGTCCGAGAGCTGCGGGGCTGATGGGGGCCCAGGGGCAGTGCGGAGCTGCATGTGGGTTCCAGCTGTGGCCACACAACCTATGCCAGGCACAGAGGCAACAGAGGCTGAGCACGTTCCCCTCCCACGCACCAGAGCACGCGTTCATTGCATCCGCTGTCTCCTGTTTTCCTTCTAACATTACAGGTAAATGGATGCCTTTTCATAACTTATATATTTATATATTTCTGCTTATTATATTTCTGCTTATTATAACCTACCCAGTCTCAGGTATTCTAGTATATCAGCACAAAACAGATCATGACATCCTGTGTCTCAAAATGCAATTGAGGTTTTCCAAATTTCTGAAAATATTTAAATAGTTTTGCTTCATGTGCTCAGTTTTCCATATTTGCTGGTTTTTTATAGGAATATTTCTCCTGAATGTGGGCACTGCCATAAATCATTCTTTATCTAACTCACTGAATTAGTGGATCCCTCCCAAGACCTCTATTTTGATTTGCTGTGTCCTACAAAGTTAGATAATCCCAAGGCCAGCATGTGTGTATTCCTAGCCAGGGATTCACCTATTTATGGTAAGTATGCTGTATTTCTTCCCAAGCCAATTTATATAGTTTTGCTTGTCATTATATCATTTAACTGAATTAAATACTAATATTCATAATTCCTGAGCAAGGACTAAATTGAATACTCTGGAAAGCTCTGTAAATATTGGAGTACATTTTGATTAAAGGAAAAGCCAAAATAAATAAATAAATAAATATGTAACTTAGAAATAGCCTACACTAAGATAATTTTTCAAGTATCTTTAAAGTTATGTTCACTTTGAATTGGAAATCTCTGAGAAACATTTTAGGTGAAGTTTAAGTAGCAAAGACTATTCCTACCTCTAGTCATCAACCCATATCAAAGAACAGGAACAGCACCTTTATTTAAATATTGGCCAGTGAATAATTATTTGTATGGTATATATTTCTAATGTTCATTATAGTGATATATCATTATTATTATTCTTTTCTGTAAGTGACTTATTGAACTCTGTTTCTAAACACTTTTTGGTATTTTGGAGAGAAGGGAGTATTAACAGGAAGGATTTATTTAATCCCTTCATCTGTATAACAAACAAAAATGACACTGGACTATGACTTCTTCTGGCCTCTAACATGGGCATTTCATCAGCTGCCATGATTTTGCCAAGTGACTATTCGGAAATAATGACATCTATATTAGTCTGTTTTCACACTGCCATAAAGAACTACCACTACCAGAGACTAGGTAATTTATAAAGAGGTTTAACTGACCCAAAGTTCCACATGGCTGGGGAGATCTCAGAAAACACAATCATGGCAAAAAGTGAAGGGAAGCAAGGCATGTCTTACATGATGGCAGGAGTGGCAGGGGAAGTGCCACACTCTTAAACCATTGGATCTCGTGAGAATTCTCTCACTATTATGAGAACAGCATGGGGGAAATCCACCCCCATGATCCAATTACTTCCCACCAGGTCCATCTCCTGATACATGAAGATTACAATTCGACATGAAATTTGGGTGGGGACACAGAGCCAAACTATATCATTCCAACCCTGCACCCTCCCAAATCGCATGTCCTTCTCACATTGCAAAATCAACCATGCCTTCCCAACAGTCCCCCAAAGTCTTAACTAATTCCAGCATGAACTCAAAATTCCAAGTCCAAAGTCTCATCTGAGACCAGGCAATTCCCTTCTGACTATGAACCTATAAAATCAAAAACAAGTTAGTTACTTTCAAGATACAATGGGGGGTACATGCATTGAGTAAATGCTTCCATTCCAAATCGGATAAATTGGCCAGAATGAAGGGGCTACAGGCCCCCATGCAAGTCCGTAATCCAGCAGGGCAGTCATTAAATCTTAAAGCTCCAAAATAGTCTCCTTTGATTCCATGTCTCACATTGAGGGCATGCTGATGCAAGAGGTTGGCTTCCAAGGCCTTGAGTAGCTCCACCTCATGGCTTTGCAGGGTTCAGCCCCCACAGCTTCTCTCATGGGCTGGTATTGCGTGCCTCCAGTGTTTACAGGTACACAGTGCAAGCTGTCAGTGGATCTACCATTCTGGGGTCTGGAGGATGGTGGCCCTCTTCTCACAGCTCCACTAGGCAGGGACTCTTTGTGGGGGCTCCAAACCCACATTTCCCTTCTGCACTGACCTAGCAGAGCTTCTCCATGAGGGCCCCACCCCTGCAGAAAACCTTCTGCCTGGACATCCGGGTGTTTCCATTCATCCTCTCAAATCTAGGAGTAGGTTCCTAAACCTCAATTTTTGCTTTCTGCAAACCAGCAGGTCCTACACCATGTGGAAGATGCCAAGGCTTGGGCTTGCACCCTCTGAAGCCATGTCGCAAGTTGTACCTTGGCTCCTTTTAGTCATGGCTACAGCTGGAGTGGCTGGGATGCAGGGCACCCTGTCCTGAGGCTGCAGAGAACATCTGTGCCCTGGGCTTTGCCCACAAAAACACTTTTTCCTGCCAGGTCTCTGGGCTTGTGATGGGAGGGACCGCTGTAAAGGTCTCCAACAGGTCCTGGAGACATTTTCCCCAATGTTTTGACTGTTAACTTTTGGTTTCTCATTACATATGCAAATTTCTGAACATGGCAGCTTGAAATTCACCCCAGAAAATGGGTTTTTCTTTTCCTACCACATAGTGTCAGGCTGCAAATTTTTCAAATGCTCTGCTTCCCTTTTAAACATAAGCTCCAATTTTAGATGATCTCTTTGTGATGCATATGACTATATGCATTAGAAACATCCAAGTCACATGTTGAACACTTTGCTGCTTAGAAATCTCTTCTGCCAGATACCCTAAATCATCTCCCTCAAATTCAAAGTTCCACAAATCTCTAGGGCAGAGGCAAAATGTCACCAGTCTCTTTGCTAAAGCATAGCAAGAGTGACCTTTATTCCAGTTCTGTGTAAGTTCCTCATCTCCATCTGAGATCACCTCAGCCTGGACTTCATTGTCCATATCACTATGAGCATTTTGGTCAAAACCATTCAACAAGTCTCTAGGAAGTTCCAAACTTTCCCACATCTACCTGCCTTTTCCTGAGCCCTCCAAACTGTTGCAACCTCTCCCTGTAACCCAGTTCCAAAGCTGCTTCAACATTTTCGGGTATCTGTATAACAGTACCCCACTTCTGGTCCCAATTTTCTGTATTAGTTTGTTTTCACCCTTTTATATAAAAAAACTACCTGAGACTGGGTAATTTATAAAGAAAATAGGTTTAATTGATTCATAGTTCTCCATGGCTAGGGAGACCTCAGGAAACTTACAATTATGGTGGAAGGTGAAGGGGAAGCATGGTATGTCTTAATTACATGGCAGTGAGAGAGAGAGAGAGTAAGGTGGGAAGTGTCACACTTTTAGACCATCAGAACTCATGAGAGCTCACGAGACCAGCATGGAGGAAATCCTCCCCCATGATCCCATCACCTCCTACCAGGTTTCTTCCCTGACATGTGGGGATTACAATTTGACATGAGATTTGGGTGAGAACACAAAGTCAAACCATATCACCACCCAAAAAATAAAGGAAGCAATACTGTGTTTTCCATCATCATTATATCAACATGTGCAGAAAATATTTGTAAATAAACAGTGTTGGTCTCATGCACTAAAAAGAAGAGATAAAAAGAGGACCCCCTGAGAACAGCAGGATAAACACCTTTATCCTTAGAGGAGGCAACATTCCAGTCCTAATGGTTGGTCCTTATTAAGCATGTGCCATGTGTCTGGCACAGAGCTGGGCATTTAAGGCATTTCATCCCAAATCCTTAAAACCACCCATTAGAAAAGTATTATTGTCCTCATTCTCACACAGGCAAGCTGAGGCTTTGATAATCAAAACTAGCATTCTAAGGTCATTCCAAGTGAGAGAACTCATATTCACATAAAATCTTCCCTGATCTAAGGTCCATTTTCTTCTTGATATTCCATACGCTTATAAAATTTGAGAGAAGAAAATGGAAAGAGAACCAAGTTCTGTCTGTGCTCAGTGGTACCCTTGGTGGTGTTGTGGGCCAACTTGTGTCCCCAAATTTATATGTCCGGGTCCAAACCCTGCATCTCAGAAGGCTACAGTGATTGGAGATGAGGCCTTTTATAAGGAACGTGAGTTAAATGAGTATATAAGGGTTGGCCTTGATCCTACGTGACTGGTGTCCTTACAAGATCAGAACACAGACACACACAGGGGGCTGACCCTGTGAGGACATGGGGAGGAGACATGTCTGCAAGCCGAGGAGAAAGGCCTCTGAAAGAACCAACCTGTCAATGTCTTAATATTAGACTGCTGGCCTCCAGAACTGTAAAGAAGTCAGTTTCTGCTGTTTAAGCTGCCCAGGCTGTAGTGTCTCATGATAGTGGCCCAGGAAGTCACACAGTAGTGTAGAATGTCAGTCGGAGAACCACAGCAATTCCTACGGAAGGACCACTTCACATGAAGATTAGCATAAACTTCCCTGAATTCCAACATCATTACAAGACACATCAGCCTAAACTCATCAACATATGTCAAGATGTGAATTTGAACCGAAGAGAAATGTACACTGGGCAGGTTAAATCCTGCCAGCTTCATTCTCTGTGTGTGTGCAAATTTCTGAACACTAATTTTTATGTCAGAGAAACTGCCCTAACAATCAATGAACTCCAAAGGCCGATCTGCGTATTAAAGGCTCAGGAATAATCCCCTGCTGATTTTGGCTTCTCATCTCAAACAGGCATTTCATACTTGTACCATCCATCCTGGGGACTTCTGTCTCTCTGTGATGCCAAGAGAACAGCAGGTACCCCTAAGTGAACACAGGGTAAACCACAGCCAGCAGGGTAGCCTGGGCCTATTAATTCAGTAAGAATGAGCTATAATTGCTTTAAGTGGAACTGGAAATGTCACTGCCATTTAACAACTGCATTTAAAATTATGCTTGAGTGAGCTATAGTGCATTACAAACAAGTAGGATGGTAAACCCCAGTAATCATTGCCCAGAGCCTGGGACACCCACAGGTCTTCCCTACCTGCCCTGAATTGTCAGAGAAAATAAAAGTGGCTGCCTTGAAGGTAGCCAGAGGCCTCAAGGTCATAGGAGAGCAGAGATTTGCCCCTGCTGGCTCTCTGAGAGGGTTGCCATAGAAACAGGAGGAAAGATGAGTCCAGCCTGCATAGGCACAGCCAGACGGCCAGGCATAGAACAGACACGGGCAGGAAGCTGCAAACCTTGCCTTCATGTCCCTAGTGTGAGCCATTTTCAGGGATCAGAAAAGTTGCTTTGGAGTCCTTGATGTTTCTAACCCATTGTATTAGTCCATTCTCATGCTGCTATAAAGAACTGCTCAAGACGTGGTTATTTATAAAGAAAAGAGCTTTAATTGACTCACAGTTCCTCAGGAACGGGGAGGCCACAGGAAACTTACAATCATGGCAGAAGGGGAAGCAAACACGTCCTTCTTTACATGGCAGCAGCAAGGAGAAGTGCCCAGCAAAAGTGGGAAAAGCCCCTTATAAAACCATCAGATCTCATGAGAACTCACTATCAGGAGAACAGCATGAGGGTAACTGGCCCCATGATTAAATTACCACCTATGGGGTCCCTCCCATGACACATGGGGATTATGGGAGCTACAATTCGAGATTTGGGTAGGGACACAGACAAACCGTTTCACTGATTAAGGAGGGTTAGAATAAAAATGCTATGAACAAACATCCTGGAATTTCTGGAGGCATTAATTCAGAGGTTGAAAGGCCATATTTGGGCAAAACCCTCAGATATTGCCTCCTCAGTGTGTTACTTTTGGAGAGAAATGATTATTTCCTAATAATTTCCTAATATACAAAAGAATTTTCTAAGAGGAAAAGGGAGGGATAGCTTTTTTTTGGGTAGGGAGGGGCACGTCAGGGAAGAATGCATCTGAGTGCTGGTGAAAATCATACCGGCTTTGGAATTGGCCAAGTCAGACACCAAACCACGCTTCCGGCGCTCATGAGCTATTATGTCCTTTCAGGCAAAGGATGCTACTTCTGAGCCTCAGTTTCCTCATGTGAGTAGAATAACCTCTCCCACAGGGCAGCATAGAAGCATTTAGGGAATGTGTCCATCTCTGGGTATCTGTTTCCCATGGTGGTCAAGTCAGCCCGTCTAATGTCACTCTCCTGCAGGGGAAATCTATAGACAAAGAACAAATATAAAATTAACTCCCTACAGGCAGTGAATGGGGATGAAAAGCATGGATTATGGAAGGGGAGTGTGATGTGTGGAAGAAACAAAGGGAAAGAGGGTTTTTATGGTTTTTAGCTTAGGGGTGAGTCTCACGCCATGCAATGCAGAGTTGCCAAAACACTAACAGAAAACCCTTGGTCTCTCCCTCGTGAAGAAACTGGGAACATGCCTGCTAAAACTTGAGAAGGAAGGGGAGAATCAGAGACAGAGAACCCCAAATTCTGTGTATAACTTCTGCCCAGAACTCAGTTGACATCTGAACCTTGAATGTGTGACGCAAACTCCACGAAACACAAGGATAAAAGAACCAAACTGAGAATTCAGCTGCGGTTCAACAGGCATAGTTTGCAGTTCGTCAAACCAACTTAATGGCCCCATCACACACACACACACACACACACACACACACACACATACACACACAAATGGAAAAAATAACAGAGCCTAGACTCTCCACAACATGACATTTGCAATGCCCAACAAGTCATGCTAAATGATCCACAATTGCAGAACCAGGGAAGTGCGGCCCACTCTAGCGAACAGACACACTCAGACTCAGAACAATCCCCTTACTGTGCTCAGAGGTGGAGCTTCCTGCCGTATCCCTGCTCCGTGACGGGAATTAGGGCCTGCACCCACCGCCGGGATGAATCCAGCCTTGCCGCAATTTTACAGCTGCAGCGAAGGTCAGTTCTGCAATCGTGGGAAGTCTAATGTTCAGTCTTCATCTAATAAAGAGAAAAAAAGAATGAGAGGAAAAAAATGAAGAAATCATGCTAAAATTTAACAATATAAATTCACACAATCAAGAAATTTATCAAACACAAGCAACATGAATACAAAGAAAACTAATTCTAGGCACATCGTAGTAAAACTGCTGAAACCAAGATAAAGACAATATTCTGAAAACAGAAAAATGACACAATATCCGTGGGAAAATGAGGATTAGAAACATCACTGCTTTTCTACAACAAACTGTGGCAGACAGAAGGCTGTGGAATATCTCTCACGTGCTGAAAGAAAAGAAAGAAAAACAGTATTCAACGACAATTCACAGCACAACTATCTTTTTAAATGAAGACAAAACAAGACCATTTTTCATATGAAGCCGATTCATCCCCCACAGAACTGAACTGCATGGGATGCTAACTTTAGTCTGAGAGGAAATGATACCACCTGAGAATGTTCAGAAAGGAATAAGAGCTTTGGAAATGATAAATTAAGCATTACTGTCAAATGCTTTATTGTAAACCGCATTGTATAAACTGACAGAGCAACCAGATTACACGTTAAGGTCAAACTGGTGCAGCCCAGAGGCACAGAGGGAGGAACCAGGAACCCCCACAGAAGCCGCCGGGGGTCCTGGACCCAGAGGCACAAAGGGAGGAACCAGGAACCAGGAACCCGCATAGAAGCCCCCTGGGGTCCTGGACCCAACCCGTGAGGTCGGTGTCCTGCAGGCTGTTGCTGAGCTTGGCAAGTTCAATGGGGATAAATGGAGAACACAGTGGTGGAGATAAGGGCACTTCTATGGCCTGATTCGCATCCAAGACTCCGAAACTGAAGGCGCCCAGAGTCCGGCTCTTGGGGATCTCAGGGATCTATATTATTGACCATGATGTCTTCAGGAATGAAACCTCCGGGCTCACATAATTATTTGGGTGTGCTACAGTGTTTAAACCTTTCCTGAGATGCACCCTGCCGTCCCCCAGGGTCCAACCCTCCTGGGCTTCCTGGCACTGTCTGAGCTGTCACCAGCCCAGGGGTCTGGCACCCCCCTGGCATGGGGTTATGGAGGCCAGGTCCAGGGGATCCTGCCCATGTCGGCCTGGCTGTGGCTCCTCCCAATACCAGAGGAGACATTGCCGGTCACTTGCAGTGTCCCCTGGTCCTGGACCACTAACCCCCAAGCACTTGCTATTGCAGTAGAAGGACCAAATTAGTGACCCTGGAGCTAGGACCCCGACTACCATCACCAAAACACAGACCATGCAACACTTGACTTCCACAACGTGGAAAACACAAGCCGTGGTGAACTCGTGGCGGTGCCCACCTGGCCCCGATTCCAGGGGGACATCTGCACAGATACAGGTCCTCATGGCCCTGGGCACCTGGGACGGGGGCCCTGATTCCACAGCCTCACTGTGGAGGACAATAGCGACCCTGGCCTGCAGGGTCTCTGCATGGTGTTGGGTGCAGTCCCAGGTAGAGCCGGCGAAGCCGCCAGTGCTCCGGGCTCCTCTTCCTGGGGAAGCAGGTCCTGACTCACTCTGGGTAGTGACTGAGGGCTCAAGGGCCCAGGTGATGGCCTGGACACTTCCTGACCGACTATCAACGCTAGGGATGGGGCCTGTGTTGTGTGCCCACCTGGGCGCTGGCCTTCCTCCCAACTGCACCAGTGGATGCATGCAGGTCACGCAGCTGGTTCGCAGGACAGGTGCAGGTGCCACACCTGGTGTGCAGATGGGTAGAGGCCACACAGACCCTGGGCAGCTGACAGCGCATGTCAGCTTGACCCTGAAGGTCGCGGAATGAGCATCACAATGTGAAGCAGAACGTCGAGGGCACCACCTGCTTCTGCACTGAATGCAGGAAGGGTCCCCAGGCAGAGATCCTGTGACCCTGACCCTGAAGGGCTGCTCAGGAGCCGGCATGAAGATGGAAGAATTGCTGACGGGAGGTGGTGGAGATACAGACACTGGGGTCTCGAGGGAGCTGCTGTGAGGGTGCCTGTGGGATATCTGTGCCCCTCAGAGTTCCCTGAGGAGGGGGCTCTTCCTAGACAGACACCCCTCCCAAGGCTGCCTCTGGGTCACAGGACACAGACCTGGTCTTGGTGCCTCTCCTTTCCTCCACAACTCCTCATTGCTCCCACAGCAATGGGCAGCTCTCCCCTGTGGTCTCTCCATCTAAACAATCGGCTGCCTGCTGGGACCTGAGCAACACAGAGAGCAAGAGAGCTATCAAGTACTGGCTTTAATTTGTAGAATACATTACAGCTCACAAATGTATTTTACCCATTAATAAAGCTCTTGAAAACCAATTGTATGTGGATTAAATATAAGTGAATCAACTTGTGAAATTATTTTAGAAATAAACAAAATTGGGCCAGGCGTGGTGGCTCACACCTGTAATCCTAGCACTTTGGGAGGCCAAGACAGGCAGATCACCTGAGGTCAGGAGTTCGAGACCAGCCTGGCCAACATGGTGAAACCCCGTGTCGACTAAAAATACAAAATTAGCCTGGTGTGGTGGCACATGCCTGTGATCCCAGCTACTTGAGAGGCTGAGGCAGGAAGAATCGCCTGAATCCGGGAGGCAGAGGTTGCAGTGAGCCGAGACCCTGCTATTGCACTCCAGCCTAGGCAACAAGAGCAAAACGCAAAAAAAAGAAAAAAGGAAAAAAAAAAAAAAAGGAAAGGAAAGGGAAAGGAAAGCGAAGGAAGGGGAAGGGGAAGGGAAAAGGCAAGGCAAGGCAACGAAATAAATAAAATTGAGTCTTCTTTATTCCGATCACGGATTCATTCAGTCCTTTCTGAAAGCACAAAATTCCAGGTAAATGGAATAGAGTCCACGTCAGCATTCGCATACCAACACAGAGAGTAGGCCATGTTCTAGTGGCCACATTAAAATAGTAAAGAGAAAAAGATTAATTTTATTGATATATTTTATTTGGTCCAGTATGTCCAAAATATTAATTTCAACATGTAAGCAAAATAATACAATTGTTGATAATATATTTTACATTTTGGTACAAAGTCTTTGAAAGATGGTGTATGTTTGAAATTAAAGCACATCTCAGATTGGCGACATTTCACGAGCTTCACGTCTAAATGTCCGGCAGCCTACCGTTGTTCAGAACAGCGGGGCAGGAGAAATGTGGAAGATGAATGTCCTGGGACAGAGAGTGAAGCTGCTGAGGGGCAGAGTTTTAACAATTTTGGAAGCGTGGGTGCCAGGGCGCACATGTGAAAGATCTGGGAGGGGAGGCTGAGGGGAAGATGAGGAGAAAAAATCCCAGTGACCATAGATAGGCTGTGGTTAATATTAATAGCTAGAAGAGTCTGACCCAAAATTACAGAAATTACAAGAAAACAGACCCCACAAAAGAAAGGCAGGCACCAGACAGGACTGACGATGAAACTAACCCATGGAAATTAATAGAGTGATGCTTCACATAGTAACGAAATATCATCAGGGAGAAACACAGTAACAGGCTGAACTGAAGAGGACAGATCTACTCCCTGTAACTGAAAGGTCCTGTTGAAAATAGCTGAACAAGCACAGGGGAGTGAAAATGGACACAGGTGAAAACTATCACACCGGCTGGGCGCCGTGGCTCATGCCTGTAATCCCAGCACTTTGGGTGGCTGAGGCGGGTGAATTACTTGAGGTCAGGAGTTCAAAACTAGCCTGGCCAACATGGTGAAACCCGTCTCTACTAAAAGTACAAAAAAAAAAAAAAAAAAAATTAGCCAGGCGAGGTGGCGAACGCCTGTAATCCCAGCTACTCGGGAGGCTGAGGTAGGAGAATCGCTTGAACCCGGGAGGCGGAGGTTGCAGTGAGCCCAGATCGCTGCCCTCCAGCCTGGCAACAGAGCGAGACACCATCAAAAAAAAAAAAAAAAAGGAAGGCCAAGGCCGAGATTTCCGAAACTCAACAACAACAGACGTGATGTTTTGAGAGGAAGGTTGAGAAACACAAAAGACAGGAAGATGCACTATCCACCTAACGGATGTTCCTGGAGTTGAATATAGGAAGAATGCCGAAAAATATCAATGAAAGAAATGTTTTCCCATAAGAAACCATGACCTTCTTCTACGCTGAAATGAGAGAATGCATGTTAAGTAGCATGAGCAGAAATGACTACACTGTGGAAAGATTTTAAGAAAGATCTGGGAGGGGTGAAAGCTATTAAAAAAAAAAAGTCCACCACTAGAACTATTTTTACAAACATTAAACTAGTTCAAGAGCTAACATATGCAATGAAAGCATATACACTTAATAATTCATGATGTTAAAATAATAAAATGTTTAATTTGAAAATCTCAAAGTTGGGTTATAAATGTTAAAATAAAGGGAAAAAAATTCGCTGTAAGAAACTTAACTTTATATTTTTATATCTGTCGTTAAACAAGGAAATGGAGCTAAAAACACCTGGTAAATCTCCAAAGCGAAGAGAGATAACCCTAAGCTGATCCAGACCAAGAGTGCACTGCCCTGAGCATCCCAAGAGCAGACACCTTCCCAGGTCCTGCAGGGTCCAAGGAGTGGGCAATGTCCCCAGCTCCTGCGGGGTCTCGGGGCGGACACCGTCCTCACTGACCCTTCTAGGGATTCCCGGGTGGGACAGAGGCTGGCGTGACGGCACAGCGCCCCGATCCTTTGAAACAAGCCTTCCAAGCCCCACCCGCCTCCGCCTGCTCCTCTGTTAAAGCACTAAAGACGCCCTGGGCCTCCCGGCGGAGCGAGCACAACTCCCACCGCACGATAGTAATTTGTCCATACTACAACGAACACCTGGAACTATCGCGATATCTGGAGCTAGCAAACGCCACGAAATTACCGCGAGAAGAAGCGCAGGTTTCGTGAGAAGCGCAGATCTCACGAGAGAAGATTTGGCGCCCTCCTCCGTGGATTGTGGCCAGGCCGGGTTCGGCGGTTGCTGTGAGGGCGGGCTTCTCGGCACCATGCCGTCCCCGTTCTCCGTCACCTCTTTCCCCGTCAGCATCCCAGCCGTGCTCATGGTAACTCGCGGCCTGCGTAACCACCAGTTCAGGGGAGGACGGCGGACAGGCGTTGGGTCTGCCCCACGGAGAACCTAGCCTGTCGCCAAGAAGGCGCCGACCGTGGGCGGGGCCTGGCGGCGGAGCGCGCGCGCTGGGCGGGGTCCTGGGACCTGTGGGAGTGGCTCGGGGCGGGGCGGTGTAGCGCGCCCTGGGCGGGGTCCTGGGACCTGTGGGAAGGGGCCGGGGCCGGGCGTCGGGGCGCCAGTGCTAGGCGGGGTCCTGGGCCGCTGGGCGGGGCGGGGAGGGGCGGGGCCTTGGGGCGGAGTCCTGGGCCGTGAGCGGGGTCCTGGGCCGTGCGGGCGGGGCTTGGGCTGGGCGCACGTCCCGCACCGTGAGGGCGTGGCTGAGTTTTGTGGGCGGGGCGCGAGGGGCAGGGCTTTGTTCGTGTGGGAGGTGCATGCCCGCGAGTCAGCGTCTTGCGGGCGGGGCTTGGGCCATGTGGGCGGATCCTGGCAATGTGACTGGGCGTGCGTGGTGGAGCCTGAGCGTGTGGGCGTGGCACGGAGGAACCCTGCCCCTGTGTGGGCGGGGCCTGCGCTTTGCCCGGTTGGTCTGGCAGGTCCCAGGAGAGCCCGCGCCCCGAGTGGCCGCCCAGAGGTGGCATGGGCACTCGATGGGGTCTGGGCAGAAAGCCGTGCTCCCCTCACCTCCCTGCCTCTGGTCGTCTGGTTGGTGAATTGATGGGAGCAGATGCGCTTGTGTCCTTATCTCATGGCGCGGCTCTGGAGAGGCTGCTGCGGCCCCCAGTAGAGAGCAGTGACACAGGAGTCCTGGAGGGCTGTGCGGGGCTGCAGCTTGGAGGGCAGGGCTTGTCTCATGCAGGAAGGTGCTCAAGGAGGGGATGGCAAGGGTTGAGGACTGCTGAGATTGGCATCTGAGCATCAGTTGGGGACTGGGCAGCAGTGGAGCTGAGCTTGGCTACTTCAGGTCCCTGAGCCAGACACTGTCCCCAGGTACGGCAGGGTCCCGGGGAGTCCAGGAGGCGGCGGAGTGCAGTACTGTCTGGAGGGTTCAGTGTATTGCAGAGAGTTTGGAGAAAATCAAGTCGTGCCCGTGGCGATGACTCAGATTCCCCGAGGCCTTCAGTGCTGACTAAGGAGCCTGAAATGATGATTCGTGTTTTACCTTTGGGGTTGAGCCAAGTGCATCTCTTTGAGCAATTCACTTAATGTCCTTGTCGTCACCAATTATCATCACCAAGTATTGTTATAAAGGATGGTAATTCCTTTAATTATACCCAGCTTAAAAACACGATTCTGTTCCACCAACAAAAGGGGCACGTCAGAGATGCCTTCAGTTCTGTGTGCTTGAACTTTGAATTCCATGAATTATAGTTGCACTGAGGGGAGAATCCTGTTTGCATCCTCCTGGTTCCTTCTCCCTTTCCTGTCCCCATGTTTCTCTGAGGTCTGGCAGTGCTCTCCAGGTACCTTGCTGAGTAGCCCCAGGAAGACTCAGGAGTGAGAGGCCCCTGCCCCCTGCCCTGGGAGAAGGCTGTGGGTGGGCTGTGAGCCCGGCCCTGTGGGGCAGGTCAGTGAGTGTCTGCTGGTGTGTTCCTACAGCAGACGGACTGGACTGAGCCCTGGCTCATGGGGCTGGCTGCCTTCCATGCGCTCTGCCTGCTCCTCACCTGCTTGTCCTCCCGGAGCTACAGACTACAGATCGGGCACTTTCTGTGTCTAGGTGAGTAAAACAACACAAACTCCACAACTCAGATCACTGTGTGAAATGAAACTGTGTATGGTCTGTGTCTTCAAAATATGTACATATTTTTATAAGACCTCCCAACCCTCTGTCAGGCGCCTGCTCCTAGGGCACTCCCATTTTTCTCTTGGAAGCTGTAAAGGAAAGTACTTTTTGGATGTTAGAGTTGAAAGGAATCTGTTGAGTTCCTGTTACCTACCAGGGAAGTGCTGAGCACCAGCTGCACACGGGAGAGCTGGGTTTCCGGAAGTGCTGTTGTTTACTCAAGATGTGTCCTTGGTGGCAGCTCTGCTTATGCACTGCTTTGAATGGGAGGAAGATTGCAAACCAGGAAAGAGAAGTTCTGTGCATAAAATAAGGCATTGCCCAACTTGGTTTCAAGGATAAGGGCTACAGAACTTAGAGAAGTTAGGGAGTTGCACAGGATGACTGAGAAAGATTATTCAGAAAAGCTGAAATCATGGCACGGGGTGTGAAGAGTGAGTAAAATGTTAATAAGAAAAGAGAGGGAGCAGGTGACGGCCTGGGAGGGCAGCAGCCTGACGTGCAGATACTGAGATGGATGGAAGGTGTGGGTCAGAGGCAGAGAAACTGCCAGCTCTGCGGAACCTAAGCACTTCTGGTGCTGAGCGTTACAAACACTTGTGGGTAGAAGAGGCGAGGAGGGCCTGGAGGTCTGGCTCAGGCTCCTCTTGACTCTGGACATTGGGGAGACACGGAAGATGTTCTTGGTAGCTAAAAATAACTAATTTTAGATAACTTTAGTTAGCTGGCTGTGTGCAAACAGGAAATCCGAAGAAGAGATGATCTTAGAAAGACTGGAGAAGTGATGAGTGTTTGCATCGCAGCGGGGGCCTGTACAAGTGAGGTGCTCAGAGCAAGCTCTGTATCGAGGGTGCCCTGAGGAGTGCTGGAGTGGACCAGGCGGACAGGGCTCCTTTGCCTCCCACAGATTCCTGGGGGACACCAGCACCAGTGCTTCATCACAGACCTGTGTTGTTATCAACAGTGACAAGTGTTGTAATGGAAAAGCCAAAAACACAGTGAAATAGGAGGAGCTGCCTGATTTAAATCACACAGTCCCCTGCGAACCCAGGGGCAAAAGGTGCATAGGCAGAAGCCAGGCACTGAGATGCTGGCAGAGGGCGGGAGCGAATGCCCCACGCAGAGGCCCTGAGGCAGGCACCTCAAAGAAAGATGACAGCTTCTCCAGCTGAGCTCCTGGATCTGAACAGCTTTGTCAGCTAGAGAACTGCACAAGGGTTTGATATTTTCTAGGATAAGGGGAAGGATGACTGCTTTCACACTGGGGTAATACTAGACACTGTGCTGCCTGCCGTTACATTTCCTGTGATTCATTTCTCAAACCAACCTAAGAGTTGGATTTTATTTGCCCATTTTTATAAATGAAGCACACAGAGGTTCTGACTCCCTCAGCTACACAGCTTATAACTAGCACCATCAAGATTCAAGATTCAGACTCTGCTCCAGGGTGCATTTCAGGAAAAGCTGGAGAGGAGCACCTGGCGGCACCCTCTCTGCCCGCCCTCCCGACCCTCCCCCTGTAACCTCAGCCCTCCACACCCTCCTCCCCACACCCATGCCCGCCACCTCCTGTGTTAGCCTACCCGTCTGTCTGGCTGTCCTGCTCCTCCTGCCCCTCTCTGACCTTCCTCCTCCTCCTCCCCCACCCCTTCCCTTCCTCCCCCCACTCCCCTCTGGTTCTTTCCCTGTGCCTCCTTTTCCTCTGCTTCATTGAGTCCATTCCTGAAGGGAGGAAGTGGAGGGACTGCTCACCCTAACCCCTAGTTTAATCTGCTTTCTGATGTGAATCAAGAAGAATGAAAGGATTTTTACATTTTGATTTACCTTAGAAGTTAAAGCATCACATTTTTCTTAATCTGCTGAATTATATTTTATTTAATTTTATGGTAGCATGGGTCACTCTCTCATGGGTTTGAGTCCCGGCATTACCCATGAGTTAGCTGGAGACCCAGGGCCAGTCCCTAAAGTCTGTGCTCCTGGGAGCACAGAGGCCTCGCCTCGCCTCGCCCCCGCCGGCCCCTGCCCTCCCTCCTGTGCCTTTGCCTCCAGCACCCCAAAGCTGTTTGCTCCCCTCCTGTGGTCATCTCAGTCGCAGTGTCCCGAGGGCAGTCCGGGAGGTGTGAGCATGAAAAGCCCTTGGTTGTCAGCTCTGGGTCTCATGACTGTCAGCTCCTGCTGCTGTGTGCTGTGAGGCCGATCTGTGGCTGCTGTCCCTGGGGAAATGTGTGAGGCCCAGCCATGCCTGGGTGAAGCCTGGGGCCTCGGGCAGCTCCTGCAGTGGCTCTGCAGGTCCTGACCTGAGCTCGGGCTCTGACTGAGACCATAGAGCACTGGAGAACTGGAGCACTGTTGGCCTTGGTTTTCTTTATGCTAAATGGGTGAGTCCCACAAGTTGACAGTGTTAGGATGTTTACATGACCTTATGTTTAAAATTAAAGTGACATTTCTATTCAGTGTTCTACTGTAAATAATGTATAACTTTACAACGAGTAATAACAGGTCATCTAAATTCTAACATGACTTGCACCTTTTTTCAGTAATCTTAGTCTACTGCGCTGAATACATCAATGAGGCGGCTGCAATGAACTGGAGGTGAGCCCATCCCTGGGCCTGTGACCCGGTCCATGCAGGGGTGTCCCTGGGAACGCCCCCACAGCCGGTGGGTCTCGCGGAGGAGACAGTGAATCCTAACACGGCAGCCGCGCACACCCGTGCCCATGCGTCCAGAGTTGTGGGCTCCAGGGCGACTCTGTAAATGCTTTCCCAGCGCCAGAGCGGCCCTCTCTGAGTACGGCACTGTGGGACAGTGCTGGCTGAGGCCGCTGATGGCAGAGGCAGAGAAATGACTGGGAATTTGAGCTGCAGAATAGAAACTGCAGCGTTTTAGAGAACGTGGTCCGTGCTGGCCTCAGCCGTGCCCTCCCCCTTGGACTGCAGGGTGGCTGCTCCATGGCGAGTCTGGACCTGAGTAGGGGGCTTCTGGGTGGTCTGAGGCACCTGCCTGCCTCACCCCCAGCCCCGCGTCCTGATGTCGGGGGTACTGCTGGCATCCTCTGCCCCCTCCTCTACCCCTGGTTTCCTCCCAGGGGGACTCAGAACCCAGCATCTGCCCAGGGTGAAACACACAGCCTCTGTCAGATGAGACCCACTTGGCCTCACTGACTGTTTTTGAGTGACCTGTGAGCTAAAAATGGTTTTTACATTTTAAAATATAAAACAGAAAAAAAGTAAAACGGCCAGACTCTGAGCAGGAAGTAGCTGAGACTGTGGCCTCGTGGCCCATAAGCCCTGAACGCTGATCCTGGGCCCTCACCGAAGGGTTGCTGAGCACTCCCTGCAATCCTTTGCTTAGACCCTGCCCGGGTTTCCGAGCCCTCCCCTGACTGGGCCTCCTCCTGCCCTGCTCCTGCCTGCCCAGCCTTTCCCTCCAGGACCGCATTCCTGCAGCCACACGTGCTGTCTCTCTCCTCCCTCCTCCCTGCCCCCTCCTTAGCCATAAGCGGCTCCCTGGGGACCCCGCCTCTCCTCCTGGATGCAGGGCCTCCACGTGGTTCAGTCCCAGGAGTGGTGCTCAGTCCCTGGTTACCCTGACCTTGTCCAGAGGCCAGCACAGTGTCCTCGTCCTCTCTGAAGCCCTCCCACACCCAGGTGCAGCCTGCAGCACCTTCCTGGCCCCTCCCTTCCCTCTGGCTGCAGCCTCCTGTCTTAGTGCTTCTCTGCGATCTCCTGGTTTCAAAAGTGCTGGGTTTCCTGCCTGTCCCACCTGTTGGACTGGGCACCAGGACGTCTAACAAACATCTCAAAATTCACACTTCAGGACAACTGCTGTGCTCCCCTCTGTTTATAGGGGCGGCTTCTTCCTCCAGCTTCTTAGACCAGAGACGTAATAGGGCATTTTTCAGGAGCTCCGTCCCTCCACCTTTAAGGTCACCACGAGCCCAGTGTGTCCCATGCCCTTCACCCCACCCTCGCTGACCTGCTGCTGACATGCAGCAGTCCCTACGCCATCCCCCTACTGCCCAGCCTCTTGGGTGTCTTGGGGAAGTGTGGGCCTCAGAGCCAAGCACTGCCCCTCAGAACATTCCAGAGTGTCCTCAGGTCACCTAGAATAAACACGGAGTCCTGCAGTGATGCCCTGCGGCCTCCTGCCAGCTCTGTCCCAGCCGCTCATGGCTGTGCCTATGAGTCCATGAGGCCCCCTCACCCCCGACAGGCTTCACGTTTCTCTAGAGCAGCACTCGCCGCATGCTCAGACTGGCTGCCTCTTACTTTGGGGCCTCCCATGGGCTAGAGCATAAGCACCAGCAAGGCGGGAGCCCTGTGGTCACGAGGCGCTGACCCACTGCCCACCATTACTAGCTTTGTTCACGGCATTTCCGTGCTGGCTGCTGCGAGATCATCAACACCCATGTGCAGATCCTCTGCCCTCCCTGGCGCTGTGCCTTGTGCAGGTGGAGATCTTCCACCTTCCTCAGTCTCTTCTGCTAAAGAGGCACTGGCACTGACAGAAGAGGACTGCTGTGAGAACCAAAGGGATGGAAGGGTCCGGCACCACTCCTTCCCAGTGCAGCAGTGGAGCAGATGCAGCTGCTGTCTCTTTCTCATTACGGGGATTGTCAACGTTTACTCTGTAGGTTTTAAGGATTTCAAGTCATCAGTGTCTTCCAGCTGCGGTCAGATGTGCCGCTGACCCAGAGGGGCTACAGGGTGGTGTCTCCCTGCTGTGGGAGGCCTCGGGGTCTTCCCCGTGCTGCTGGGTGGTGTCTCCCTGTCCTGTGACCCAGTGTGTTTTCATAATGAGCATTGGGGACAGTGCAGTGGAGATGACGGCTGCTCCCAAGGGTGGGCCCAGTGAGGGGGTTGCCCCCACCTCAGTCCACATCAGCTCTCTCCAGAGTCTTAGTTAAATAAACAGTGTCACTAGAACTTTTTGGCTGTATTGCCTAGTAATTTTTTGTTTTTGTTTTTTAAACAGATTATTTTCAAAATACCAGTATTTCGACTCCAGGGGGATGTTCATTTCTATAGTGTTTTCAGCCCCGCTGCTGGTGAATGCCATGATCATTGTGGTATGTAGATGACACATGCAGTTGTCGTTCTTCCTGTGTCTGTTTTTCAAATGTAAACTGTTTCAAACAATTGTGTTTAGATTATGTGGGTATGGAAGACTCTGAATGTGATGACTGACCTGAAGAATGTACAAGAGAGAAGAAAGGAGAAGAAAAGGAGAAGGAAAGAAGACTGAGGGGCAGCAGCTGCTTGGAGTTTGCGTCCTTCCCATCCACCCTGGCTGCTCCCAGTGCTACAGTGCACATGGGTGGGCATCCTTCCAGCTGACTCCGTGGTTTGAAACACTGTTGTTTTATTTAAATATCCACAGTGGTAGGCACACACTGAAGTCGGCTTTTCAGCCAGCACTGAATGTATCCATCAGGACATGCGTCTTCAGGCGCCTGATCTTTGTAGTCAGGCTGTGGGAATGGTCTGCAGAGCTTCATAACTGGGAGTTTGATTTGAAGAAGTCCATGTCATATGTGTAACTAGTACTAATTATAAATATAAAATACACAATATAAAATACGAAATTCAAAAATAAACAGTGCTACCTTGTGCATGGGCGCCGTGCCCGCCTCCTCGTGCTGTGTTTTGTAGCGCGTGCCGCGGCTCGCAGTCCTGTGCATGGGCGCCGTGCCCGCCTCCTCGTGCTGTGTTTTCTAGCGTGTGCCGCGGCTCGCAGTCCTGTGCATGGGCGCCGTGCCCGCCTCCTCGTGCTGTGTTTTCTAGCGCATGCCATGGTTCGCAGTGAGGGTGTTTTCACCTTCCAGGAAATGGGGCAAAATTTGGAGACGGTTGTCATTGGAGGGGGTGGTGGTGCTGGCTTCTCCTGTGGATCCCAGGGGTGATGCAGAAAATCCTGTGTGCCTGGGTCAGCTGCACCACAGACAATGACTTGACATGGAATGTCAGCAGCGGTGGGGCGGAGAGACCTTGGAAGGAAGCCCTTGGAAAATACGTTGTATCTCAGTTTGATGAACCAATTCTCAAGAGGCTAGGCCCTCTCTAACAAAGTTATGGGCTGCTTTACTGAAAACAGAATGGAAGCCCTGAGGTCAGCACTCCATGGAGAAGCGTGTCTTTTGTAATGTCCTGGTGTTCTGTTGATTTAGGTGCTTGAGAACACAATGCTCCCAGTTCTGTTAGGACAGGCATACTGTCACTTTGCAATATGCACTTTGTGAAATAGCTCCTGCCCAGTGGTTCTTGGTTCCTAACAAATCTGGACCTGTGGTTTAAGAATGAAAGGTGGTTGGAGACCTAGATATTTAAAAATAGGTGTTCAATAAGGGAATACTCACTGTGCATTGTATCTGATAGCATACCTAATTGTGCATTTCTGAAAGTTACTGATTCAAAATGTAATTGGCACAGTTATCTTTGAGTAGACAAGCCTGGGAAGAGAATGTTGAGGTGTGGAGGTGACCAGCCAAGTTTGTGCCCCTCTCAGACCTTTGTGGCTGAGAGGTGGGACAGAAAGATGATTAAGGTGATGTGTCCTCCCCGCCGGCATTGTCCAGGGCCACTGTGTAGATATTTGACTTTGCTGACAGAAAAGAAACCAGGGAGTTCCTAGAGACTATGCATTTTTAGTATAACATTTTCACCCTCTGTTTGGCTCTTGTGTGCCCATCCAAATCTCATCTCAAATTGTAATCCCCATGTGTCAAGGGAGGGACCTGATGAGAGGTGATTGGATCATGGGAGTGGTTTCCCCCATGCTGTTCTGATGATAGAGAGGGAGTTCTCACAAGATCTGATGGTGTTAAACATGGCAGGTTCCCCTGCTGTCACTGTCTCTCCTGCCGCCTTGTGAAGAAGGTGCTTGCTTCTCCCTCTGCCATGACTGTAAGTTTCCTGAGGCCTCCCCAGCCATGTGGAACTGAGTCAGTTAAACCTCTTCTTTATAAATTACCAGGTCTCAGGTAGTATCTTTATAGCAGTGTGAGAACAGACTAATACACCATCTGTATGTTATTTGGACTTTATACGGGGCCATGTGATTGGATCTCAGTTTGCCTGCTAAAGTAGTATAACAATATTGCTCGCTTTGCATGAATTTGATGCTGATGACATGTCAGTGTGAAACCATGACCTGTGTTCTTTGGTTTTCACTCAGTATGTGTGTGTGTGTGTGTGTGTCTGTGTTTTGGAACAGTTATATTTTGTTTTTATAAAAACAACCTTCATTTTATTTTTAACTGTGTAGTAAGTTTCTATTCAGTGCCTTAAAGTGCATTGTTAACAATTGTCTTGATATGTTGTCCTCATGTTAGGGAAAGTCGTAGAAGCCAAAATGATCAGCAGTTGAGTAATTTATGAAAGCACAGGTGCAATCCCACTTTAAAGCCCTGGGGGTTGCACAGAGCACACTGAGTTCAGGCTCCATAAACGTGGCTGACTCACTGGAGGGCTTCATCTGTTTAAGTAGAACAAATGTTTTTACTGATAAAGTACAGGAAAGGAGGTTTGTGATAAAAATACATTTTTCACATTCCAAACCTGTGACACCTTACGTTTATCGATTGCTATGCAATAAAATATATCTTCAATAATATGTAGTATGCTTTCTTCCCCCCCCTAAAAAAAAATGGTATTTATTTTGCTTCTTACTGTAACTGGAAACAGGAGCACCTGGAACTTAGCTCCACCTTTGTCTGGCAGGTCCCTTTGCTGCAGCATCTGGTGCTGAGTTTCAACAAACAAATGCAATTGTGTCATTGCCAGTGGAAGAAAGTCCCCTTGCACAGATACTGCATATCAAATCAGAAAGCAATATGCAGCCTGAATGGCTAGCTTCTGTGAGAAATAAAGTACAAGGAAATGTTAACATGTTCTCTCCCTTTACAAAATAATAAATGTTAAAAGGGGGGGTGGGGGCCGGGGGTGGAATGCAGGGTAAGGAGCTACAGTGGTGCTGAGTGGGATGCTTAAAGACAGACGAGAATTGCCATCAGAGATGTACCGGTCAGGTCCAAGCATCTTTTCTCTGGAAAAGAACTTCAGGCTTCCTTGTCTGGACTTCGGTGGAGCACCCTTCTTCTTTGACCACGTTAACCAGAACACGTTTTCAGTGCAGCCTTCCCCTCTACTGAAGCCATGAGAACCAGTGACTAGCCATGCTAATAGACATCCTCATCTAAAGAGTAAAGAAGTTATCTGCATCATAAGTTTTATCTACACCCTCTCATACTGAAAGAATGGTTATTATAAAATGCATTCTGATTTCAAGAATGTGAAGAAAGTCAGGGGTCCCCAGGACCACCCCGTGTCCTGGAGGGACTCCCAGACTCAGAGCAGCTCTCACAGTCAGGGCTATGGTTACCCCTTTGAAAAGTTACAGATTAAGATCGGCACAGGGAATGGCGCCCAGGAGAGACCAGGCACAGGTTGCCTGGCATCCTCTCCAGTGGCCCCCACAGCTGCACACAATCCTCCCAGCAGCCGTGGGACCACACGCAGGACCTGGGTCCAAGAGGGAAGCCTCCTGGACCTGTGTGCCGCATTTGTGGGTGTGTAGGCGTGGAGCCCTGGGTTCTCGTCCCAACAAGGAGCCACATAGGGACAGGAAGTTACTGAGCATCTAAGTCATCTGAGTGGTGCCAGGGCAGTGCTTGCTGGAAGATCATGGCACAGCAGCGGGGACCCTTTCACAGCTGACGGGCACTTGCATTTGAGGCAAATGAGAGGAAGAGGGAACCCTGCAGGGATCGGGGTCTGCCAGGCAGGGAAACAGCCACTGGACAGGCCCTCAGCTGGGACCCTGTGGCCTGTTCAGGACAGAAGGACACCCGGCAAGCCCAGCAGGACATGAGTGCAGAGAGATGGTGGCAGGGTACCGCACAGGCCCCAGCCCTGCAGAGGCTCCAGCTCCTGAGCAGCATGGGCATCGTCCAGGGTCCGCCCAGGAGACAGGCCAGGAATGCCTGTGCTTTCAGCTCGTGGCTCCGGCTGCCATGTGGAGAATGGACACGGAAGGTAGGAGGGACCAACAGGCTGGGCCAGAGGGAGGTGGAGGGGGTGGTCAGGGCTCTGTGTCCACGATCTCGCCCTTGGTGAGGAGACAAGGCATGGAGCTTCCCTGAGCCCCTCGTCTGCGGAGGGAAGAAGATGGCTGTTTGTTTCCCTTTGAGGGATCAGGGAAGGGAGGGCTCGCAGGGAGGGGATCGTGTGCTTGGTAGGAGGCAGGTGAGCCTGAGAGGTCGTCCACACCAGCAAGTCGTGACCTGGGGAGGACGGGGCTGGACTCCACATGCAGGGTTCTCGGAGGCAGGAAGGGAGCGAGCCAGGGCAGAGAAGAGGACCCAGGGGGTGGCGCTGCCCAGTCCCGGGACAGTGCAAAGATGTCTCCAAGCCCTGGTCACCGCATGGGGACAGCAGGATGGGGCAGCAAGACCCAGGCAGGCTGTGGGTGCCACACCTTGGTGGCAGCTTGTTCCTAGTGGAGCTGGAACAATTGATAGCAAGCATCCTCATCGGCCCGGTCAGCTTTCTAGCTCCTCTTCCTCTGATGTTCCAGTTTCACAGCAGCCTGTACAGTTAGATTTTTCCTCACTTTGGGGGAAGCTGCAGCTATTAATAGTCTCCGAATCATGTTGTCATTAGAAATTGCACAACACCTATGCCAGGGTGGGCACTGACTGGCACAGACCCTGGCACAGGCCCTGAAAGGAACTCGAGGACAGAGAAGGACCTCCCTGCAGCCTTCAGGCAGCCAAGCTGAGGCCTAAGGCCAAGCATGTGGCCATAGGGTCTGCTCTGTAAGCCTCAGGGCCACCACCTTTTGTTCCAGTCCTAGGCCAAAACAGCCTACAACAGTTCCTGCTCCATCTGAGTGAGCTGGATGTCAGCCTCCGTGGGTCCTGTTGTGTGTAGGGTTGATGCTCCGTCTGAGTGAGCTGGATGTCAGCCTCTGTGGGTCCTGTTGTATGCAGGGTTGATGCTCCATCTCAGTGAGCTGAGCTTCTGCATCTCTGGGTTCTGTTGTACGTGGGGTTAATGCTTCATCTGACTGAGCTGGGCATCTGCATATCTGGGTTTTGTTGTGGGTGGGGTTAATAATCCATCTGAGTGAGTGGGGCATCTGCCTCCATGAGTTCTGTTGTATGTGGGGGTGATGCTCCATCTGACTGAGATGGGCGTCTGCATCTCTGGGTTTATGGATCCCTAAGCCCGGCTCACTCACAGCCCGGCCCTCCATGTGCTGCTCATTCCTCTGCCTCACCCATGTTTGGTTATATCTTATATAACATATATAACATTGGATGTCTTTGTAACAGGAGAAAATTGTTAAATGTCAATTCATTGCCCCTTTTTTTCTGTAAATCTATCTTCTATAAAGTAATGTAGTCCCTTTTATCATGACGCTATTTCACTATATAACATTATTTTCAGTGCCTGCATAGGAAACAAATTGTAGGGGTATAGGCTAAATTTACTTAACCAGTTACTGATATTAGAGATGCAGCATTTTTCTAATTGTTTTCCTGACATCAGCAACACAGAAATCTCCAACCTCACATGCCTACATTTCCACTATTGACTTGGAATAAATTCTTACAAGTGAAGTTTAATCAACATATATGACTTTTATGTGACAGTTGGTAAATGTTGCTAAATCAAGTTTCAGAAAGCATATGCCAATACTGGTTGTATGTATTTCCTGAAATCCTTGTCTGCACTAAGTAACAACATAAAAAAGAAACTTTTCTGAGTAATAGGTGAAAGTTTTATCTGTTTTAACTTGCACTTCTGTGGTTACCTGTGAGGTTTAACACTTTTCAAATGATTTTTTAGTAAATAATCTGTTCATATACTTCTTTTTTTTTTTTTACTAGTCTGTAGTTTGGCTTTGGCTTGTGTTGAAAAGGTTTTAGAAAGTCGAAAATTTTTTTGCTTTATGTATCATCAGGAACTATGAAGAGCTGAGGTTCTACCTCTTCCCAAGCTGACAAGTGACCTTCAGAGAAGAACCATGAAGACCCCGCAACAGTGAAGTCAGTTTAAACGAGTTACAACGACAAACACACTGCACTATCCTTATGATTTTACCTGTTACTTAGCTCACACTGATGAGTGGCTGGTGTTTAAATGCTTTCCAAGTTCATTTCATTTATTACACAAATGCCTGTGAAATACCCAGACAGCATCACTGCCTCTTCTCTAGCCTCCAAACTGAATATCCTTTTGCTGAAGCATCCAGGTAAAAAAAGGGGGACCTTAGAAACTGTGAATTTGAAGCCAGAAGCCATGGTTTTCCTAGGAATGGATTTACTTGCTAAGAAATGTGACACCTTTATAAATAAAGTTACTCGTGTTGGCTTTTTTGCTCTTTAAATTCTTCTCTGTAAGTTACTGATGTGACAAATCAAATAATAAATTTCAGACAGCTTATGTATTGACAACACAAGAAAGTCCATCCAAGAATCTCTCAAAGCATACCTGGCAAATATTAGAAGCATGTAAGTCCTGAAAAGTACTGAGTGGACATTTGTGGGGCCTTGTCTCCCCTGCCACTGTCCTTTGTAACTGATGACCTCGGGTTGGGCTGGGATGGGTTTGCATCTGCCACCAACCCTAGGCCGCACACGGGGCTCGTGGGTGAGTCAGAGGCTTCCCCCTGGAATCACGGTCCTGAGCAGAACCAGAGACCGCAAGCAGCGCGGAGCCTAGGAGTGCCGGCGCGGCCGGAAGCAGTGGAGACTAGGAGAGCAGGCGCGGCCGGAAGCAGCGCGGAGCCTAGGAGTGCAGGTGCGGCCTGGGTGGATGCGGGTTTCCTGGCTGCTTCAAAGGCACCCAGCACTTTCTCATTTATTTCCCTCCCGAGTCTTCACCATCGTCCTGCAGGTTTACAACCCCCCTCCTACAGGGCTTCACCTTTATGTCGACAGCACATTGAAATATGTGTGCAA